TGGATAACCACACCAGATTTTCTCCTTTAACTTCACTTCATCCCCTCTCTAGAGAGGGACAGTGTATTATATTCAGACTAAGGACTGGGCACAACAGATTTCGTCAACATATGTTCAAATTTTTTGGTGTAGGAAATACGGAGACGTGTCCCTGCAGCGTGGCACCCGAAAATGCTGAGCATGTGCTCCAACACTGTCAGCTGTATGCTGACAACAGAGATGCAATCTGGCCTGTTCCAACCACACTGAAGACAAAACTGTATGGTACACGAGAGGATATGGATTGCACGATAGCTTTCATAAAGGCTACCGGCCTCCTGATATAAGTTTTCTGACAGAAGGATCGAGGAAGAAGAAGTCCTCAGTCCATCCATTTATGAAAACAAAAAAAAAATTCTACCACGTTCAACATGCTGTGAGCAGTATCCGCTATAATTGTGGTCTAATTTCTTTGTGCCAGTTAAATTGGCTAAGAAATATCAATGTTTTTTGCATGAAAATGAATGACTTGGACCAGTACTGTAGTTCCAGGTGAGGGTTGTTGGGAAGGGGGCTGGTATGCATTATAATGAGATATATTTATACACATACACACCCTAGAGATAGAGAGAGACACACACACATGCACGCACGTACGTTCGTATATTTATGTGTGTGTACACACACACACACACACACACACAAGTGTGCAAGCCCACGTGTAAATGTATGTAATATTTGTTTCCATGTACACACTTGTGTGATAAATATATATATATATATACACACACACATACACTTAAGGGAGCAGCCATGGTTTAGCAGCCACAGATGCTTGTCTGAGGATCAGAAGGCCATAGATTCAGATCTCAACAGAGCCCGACTTTTTTTTCCCAAAATGACTTTGGCTTCTAGGTTGACCCAGCGGTACTAGTGTTGTATATGATGTACCCCATAGTTTTCCTATATACTTGTCTTGTCCATGTCTGTATTGTGTGGAGGTTTCTTTTGCATAATGAACTTACTATCCAGTGTCCTGTCCTTGTTTTCCACTTCCCTTCATCTTTTGGAATCTACTTATGTTTTTCTCTGTAGTTCATTATACATATCAACATAGGCAAATGCAGCACCCTCTTTACCCTCTCTCCAAAACAAAACAAAAACAGGCATCATGGAGATAAATGAAGTACCGCTGAGAGAGGATATGGAGCTCACATACCTTAGAGTAATGTTTGATGATAGGGTAACATGGAGACAGCACATCAACAAGGCAGCAATCAAAGCCAGAAGGAGGGTAGTCATCCTGAGAAAACTAAGTGGAACCACATGGGGTGCTAGTGGGTAAGTACTTAGGAAAGTTTACCAACAAAGTGTTTGACCACACCATGAATATGGATCAACGGCATGGAGTTCGGCATCAAAAACCACACTGCAAGAAACAAGTGGAAAATCAAGCACTCAGAGTAACCACAGGCAGTTTGAAATCAACGCCTATAGCTGTGATGGATAAAATGGGGATGACCCAAGCACTGAGGGAACGCAGAGACACCAAGATCTAATACAAGCAGAAAAGTTTCTTATCATGGTTAGTCACCCTATGAATGAAGAATTCCAAAATCTAGCTTTGGGACGACTAAAGAGCAGTTTCATTCAACCACTAATTTGCCTGCAACTGATTGGCACCTTTCCGTCTTTCCAGACGATAGTGTTATATTGCGCTATGAGGAAGCATGGGACTCACAGCCCATGGTGATGGCGAGTGTGACTAGTTTGTGATTTTGTCCTGCCACTTCGGAGCTTCCCTCCTAGACCAGTTGCAAGCCAAGTATGCCCTGCCACAACAAAGTTTTCAGGTTGCATTTCCTCTTCCTAGGATAAGGCTAGTATCCTCCCCAATGCGCTCCTCCGCCCAAAGCTGTTGGCACAATATAGGATGTTAGATTTGGTATACGCCGCCCAACATTCGGTGTAACAGAAGACGGGTCATACCGGCTACTGTTATACTGTGGATCAGTCATATCTGACCAAGACCTGACCTCAGCCTGCAACTGATAGCCCCTTACATGCTGTTCCAGAACGGACCCCCTGGAGAGAGGAGTATATTTCCAATACACATCAAGACAGAAGTGAAAGGAGTATTTGACAAGGAAGAACAAAACAGTGTGCAGCACAAAACAGCCATCCTCAATCTACTTGATGATGAATACCCGAAGAATCTTTAGGTTTCTTGTTTACACAGATGGGCCAGCAGAAAATGCAATCAGAAACGGAGGTGCAGGAGTGTACATTGAGCATCCTAATAATACCAGGGATACAGCCAAAATACAAACAGGAAAGCACTGTCACAACTATGATGCAGAAGATCAAGCCATCAAGATAGTGGCAGAGAAACTACTTATTACCGGGTATATTTCACAACCAGTTGTATTCCTGACAGATGCAAAAGCACTTCAGGCTCTCCAGTATGGAAAATTACAAAGTAAAATTACCAAGTGTACGGACACTATTAAACAAACTAGGCAACGGTTGTAAGGTAGTTGTGCAGTAGTTTCCATCCCACTGTGGAGTTCCCAAAAATGAAAGAGCTGATAAACTAGATAAGAAGGGTACAACTGAAGAACAACCCGACATACCAGTCTCTTATCAACAGAAGAAGAGAATGATCAAATCAATCAGAATGCCACCGAAACTGGCACAAGATGAGTACCATATTATGGACAGACCAGAGCAAGTTATTATCCTCCGCCTTAGAACAGGGCACAATCGACTTCGCTGTCACATGTACAACAAATTTAAGATTGGCGAATCAGCCATGTGTATCTGTGGACTGGCACCTGAGACACAACAGATCACATCCTCCAAGATTGTCCCAGATTGAACGCTTCCAGGCAAAACTTCTGGCCAAAAGAATCACTTGTGGAAGTCAAACTTTAAGAGCTGCAAAGTGAATTACAAAAGACAGTGAAGTTAATACTAGATGCAGAACTGCAGATATAGATAATTTATTTCAAGCCAACAAAAGAAGAAGAAGATTATACATATTTTTTAGGAGTCCCCCCCCCCCCCCCCCCCCCCCCCCCCCCCCCCCCCCCCCCCCCCCCCCCCCCCCCCCCACACCACCACCACCAACCGCATTGGTGCATCCTTTCTAAAACTGAGTTTATAAATTTCATAAGGCAGGGGCAGATCATGAACGCATTCCTCGTCATCCTAGGAGGTTTCTACAAATGCAGAACTAAACTCATAGCACTTGCTGTTAATTTCTTAAAATGAATATTAGCATAATATAACCCTTGACCCATTAGGGTCGTGGAGGTGCTTTGATGGTAGCACTAGCATACAAAACCAGCCATCTTTCTCTGTCTTCTGCTTGTTGAACAAGTGTATGAGAACTTAGTCCTGTCCATTTCTTGATGTTGTCATTCCAGGTTTTCTTTGCCCTCCTCTTCTTCGACTACCCTCCAATGTTCCTTGAAGTACATTTCAAATGTAAATGCTACAGACGCATTTAGATTTTGCAGTCGAATCCTGTCTCACCACGTGCCCAAACCAAGCTAACTTGCGATGTTTCACCACTGCCAAAAGAGGCTCCTGATGTCCTGAAAATGTGTATATATTTTGTCTCTGACATACTTATTAGTTTTGTGTTCTAAATAACTAATTCGTAAAATGCGTCTGTAGCATTTACATCTGAAAGCCTGAATCCTCCTTTCCATTTCCACAGTGAGAGTCCAACTCTCACACCCATATACAAAAATTGACAGCACCAGTGATTTGTTAATATTGACTTTGACTCGATGCTGATTTTGCTCTTCCATATCGTATTCAGCTGCGACATCGCGTTTTTGCCATATCAAGTCTTGTCTTGCTTTGGTACAGCTGCCATCGTTTTTTGCATATATGGTAGCCAAGATATTTAAAGGTTTCTTCTTCTTCAATTTTTTTCCTTTTTATCTGTATAAAAATGTCTATTACTTTTGATATTTTCTTTATTTTTAATATTTTTAGTGTTTAATGACTATAACAATGTGCACAGTTTTCTAGTTTTTCCTCAGGATTTCCCCTTTGTGCCTCATTTGTTCTTTTAAATAGCAGTCAAATATTTGTTAACATTAATTTACATCCTTTGTTTATTATAAAATAGGTTTGTAATATAATAGGTTTTGTTACGCAAGAGGCTCATCAAATGAAATTGGATGGCCTTTATTAATTTGTCATATATCTTTTTCCATCTGCAGTTTCGTTCAGTAGTGTCAAGCCGCAACTACTGCAGTTATGTCAGCACAAGAAAGAAAGAGGTCAACTGTGTGCCAGAGAAAAGCTGCTCTTTGTCATTTAGTAGACAGATAGGAACTGTCCATTTACAAAAACTTGTCAACAAGATATGTTACACATCCTGGGCCAGTTCATTTACAGTTATAAGTTTTACAGACTTGTATGCGTCTGCCAGACTGATTACATTTCCAGCAATACTGAAGTTATTCTGTCGTAGCCAGGATGTTTGGACTGCAAGTTCAGTGGTTAAAAGAGTGGCATTACCTAATACCCCCTTGCTTGGTAACTGTTTAATACCCTACCAGGCACTTCATAGAGGAAAATTTCAGAAGTATTCACAAAATAGATCTGCTGATTCAGCTATCACTAGTTGTTGCTGCTATAGTACCCAGGCAGTTAGTTCTGAACCAAAAAATACAAAGGCAGTTGGTTCTGAATCACAAAACGAAGAAAGTAAAGAAAAGATGAATCAAATGACGAGGCACGTGTCAAACTTGGTGAGTATACATCGAGATATGCTGTGTGAGGTTTCATATTTCATGGAACTGTTTCCCTGTGGGAAACAAAGAATAAAAAGAAAGAATAGATTCATTGACTCAACAAGCATGTCCTAAAAGGTGACTAAAAAAAGATTTGCTGAAATGGGATGTTTTTGATCAGAAGGTGCAGATATCACAGACTAGCTGTGAACCACAACACATTGTACCAAACACCAATTTAATGGTGAATGCAGAAGAAGAGAAATGTTCAGATCTGGGCCTGATGTTTCAAATTTTAAGGCAATGTTAAGGAAAATTCCAGGAAAGTGTTGAAATCTGTGCTTGATGTTTCATATTTTAAGGAAGTGTTCAGGGAAAGTCCAGGAAAGTGTTGAGATATGTGCTTGATGTTTCATATTATAGGGAAATGTTAAGGAAAATTCCAGGAAAGTGTTAAGATATGTGCTTGATGTTTCATATTTTAAGGTAATGTTAAGGAAAATTCCAGGAAAGTGTTGAAATCTGTGCTTGATGTTTCATATTTAAAGGAATTGTTCAGGAAAGGTCCAGGAAAGTGTTGAGATATGTGCTTGATGTTTCATATTTTATGGAAGGGTTCAGGAAAATTCCAGGAAAGTGTTGAGATATGGTATGTGATGTTTTTTTTCAGGAAAAGGGTGAGACATGCTGTGTGAGGTTTCATATTTGAGAGAAGAGTTTGAGTATAATTTAATCTTCTTCTTCTTCTTCTTCATTCACTGGCTGTGAATTTTAGCGGAAAGTCAGTTTAATCGTCCGCTTGGACTTTTGGCTTTTACCTGGACCTGAGTTTTACGTGTACAACGGTTTTGCAGTTCCCTGCCTCATGAGCAGCTGTACTCTGACTTCGAGGGAAGACGTCAGGCCTATTTCTAGGATGACTGTGGCTATTGTTTTGTGTGGGTCGAGACGTTGCCTGATTTGTGTGGTGTCCACTTTGTCTCCTTCTCCGCAGGTATTGCCCCCGGAGTACCCCTTTGGGGCAGCCCCCTGCGGAACCGTTGGCCCTCAAGGGAAGGCAGGGGCAGATCATGGGCATTCCCCGCCATCCAAGGAGGCTTCCATTTTTGCAGAGCCGGCACATGGTGCTCTGGTTCTGGGCTCACCCAAGGAATCGTCACGTCCTGCACATGCCTGCTTGACCTCACAACCGTATTAGGCCTTCCGCTCGACAAGGGCTGCGCCCTCCGGAAGTCAGCGGGTAGCATAGCAACCCACGAATTCTGAACTTTTGTGACCACCCAAATAGGTACATTCTTTTTCTTCGCACGTTAGGTTTTGACGAGCCGTTAGCCTGAAAAAATTCAACATCCTGCGTCAGGCATATAGTTATCTGTTTGGTCCCAGCACTCGGGCGAGTGGGATCTTTTGGTGTGGACATTTGGACTTTTTCCGTTCAGTACGATTTGTGATGGTCAGATTTTGAGCTTACTCGTGTCTCGTAGGTTCTAGTTTCGTTGGACATTTAGGCTTGGCCAGCCGATGGATGGTTTCTGTCTTGGTGTACCTCAGCGCGGTGACGACGACACTGAGGGTTAACAGAGGATGTACATGGGTAGAATCTTGCTGCGAGACGCCACCCCCAGGAGATGTTACTCATCTGTGCTGCGGGTAAATCTCTAGGTCATGGGTTGAGTCTCAGCAGAACAATGTTCTCTTCACTCCGCAAACTTTTAACCAAGGGTTGTAATTTTAGTTGTACGTTTGGCAAGCACGTTACTCATGTTCCTAATGAGTTTTGAAAACCTTTTTCACCCAAGCGTTTGGGGGCGGGCTGATGAGAGCCACAAGGACACATCACCTCAGGGGGCCGCCAAACTCCGAGATCCCCTGACAGCTCTGTTAATGCTCATTTGAGACATTATCCGTGGCGCATGACGAGGACGTGCTGCAGGGGTCTTGCGTGAGGTTCCGTACAACCAGAACAGTGAAGGACTGGCGCCCGAGTGACATACGGAGTATCTCCTTATACACATCCTGTTGGACTTAACTTTCCCTCACGCCTGTGACTTAAATCACCGCGCCACTAATTTAATCTATCCTGATCCTCATGAGGGTTCCAATGCTGAATTTTTTGGGAAAAAATGTAGACCCTTCCCCCCCCCCCTCCCCCTTCCATCCCACTCCCACCAAGCATGCCATAAAAGGCATCTAATTATAGGTTCAATGAAATTGGATGTATTAAGCTGAAAGCCACAGATATCGCAGCCTTGCTGTAAATGGCATCACAACATGCCACCTACACTTTTAAGGATGCAGAAGAAAAAAAGAAGTGTTGAAGCCGGAGTGCATCTGCCTGAGAGGCAAGAAACCAAGTCTGCATAAGAATAAGCCAGACCTGTAAAATGGATGTGCATACAAAACTCAAGTTCTGGAACAAGACTAAAGTCCAGAAGTGGACGAACAACCAGAACTTTCTGCCAGTGAAGGCTAAGAAGAAGAAGACAGCCTATCAAATACAGCCTGCTAACTTGGCTGGGATCTATTTAGAGCAAGGCTGTTTACCTACGGTTAACAGGGGTAAACATTTGGAAAATGGGGATCGTCAAAGAAAGAAAGATCGTTAATACAGTACAGCTGGCAGTGATCTTTGGGCCACTTGCTAGACCTCTGTGGTTTTGATTTGTCTCATGGGCTGCCAGTTGATTAGCCCTGATCGAGAGGGAGGAAACCTCACATGTACGCATTCTGAAAACAGACACTGCTACTTTAATTTGGTACAAACTTCTTTTTCTTCTTAGCATTCACCAGCTGCAAACTCTGGCAGAAAGTTCTGGTTGTTCATCCAATTTGGGATTTTGTGTTTTTCCAGAACTTGAGGTTTGTGTGCACATCTGTTTTAAAGATCTGGCTTTTTGCATACTTTTAGTTCCTTGTTTCTTGGGCAGAAGTATTCTGACTTAGAAGGAAACACCCCTAATTAGTTGTCTTGTACATGTCTGCTGTTGCTGGGCCTGTCCTAGAATCATTTGCAGCTGCACCTTAAATCACCTTTTTTTTTTTTTAAATGAATCATTTAATTCTCTATTTCAGGTGTACAAATTGTTTAGTGGTCAGTACAACTATAGGGCTCTACATAAGAATGTGGTTTTAGAAAACTGTCTCTTTGGAAAAAAGAAAAAATCAGTGTAAGTCAATAAATAGATTTGCTTTGTTTAAGTCTAACGATAACTGTGCATACATGTGTGTGTGGTTCCCCCGTGTGGGTTACATGGCTCTAACTGTGGGGAAGAAAAGGATAGACTCATCGCCCCCATAAAAATCATGTCAAAAAAGTAAACTAATTAGGGTGTGTTTCCTAAAATGTCAGAGTGCATTTGCCTGAGAGGCGGGGAACCAAGAGTCTGCATACAAATAAGCCAGAGACAGATTTGCATGCATCGCTCAAATTCTGATGACTTATAAAACTGGCATTTTCGGGTGCAACTCTGCACGAAAACGTGTTCCTGCAGAGTGGCACCTGAAAATGCTGAGCAGGTGCTCCAACACTGTCAATTGAATACTGACAACAGAGATGCAATCTGGCATGTTCCAACTACAATTAAGATAAAGCTGAATGGTACACGAGAGGATATGGACTGCACGATAGCTTTTATAAAGCCTACCGGCCTACTGATATAAGTTTTCTGACAGAAGGATCAAAGAAGAAGAAGAAGAAGACTCAAATTCTGAAACAAGACTGAAGCCCAGAAGTGAACGAAACACCAGAACTTTCTGCTGGAATCTACAGCTAGTGAAGGCAGAGAAGAAAAAGAAGATATTTGTGGACAGGTTTTTCATTTTCATTTTTTATTTTTCTCGGCCGATCACTTGCTTCTGAGATGTAATGCCTATGATAGTATTTGTTGTTGCTGCATTCTAGCGAGATGGCCAAACCACTTGATCTGCTGTCTCTCGATGAATCTAGTGCAAGGTGTTGTTCCCACAATTTTCCTGGTAGTATCATTATTCACTTGATCTCTGATGGTTAGGTTGGTGGCTTTTCTCGGGCATCTTATCTTGCAAGTGGTGATTTTGCTACATGGGCCTTAGATAATATCCATGGTTGGCACTGGTAAAGGATTATTATACAGTGTTAATTTAAAAAAATATATGAATTAGCTTGCATATGTAAACATGTTATTTTAATTGTACACGGTTTTATCCTATTGCTTTAGCCTCTCTTGGCTCCCCATTTGGGTTCCGGGGCACTATTATAGGAAAAACTAGAATAGACCCACTGCTTACCCAAAAGCATGTCGTAAGAGTCGACTCATTGGGAGCTTCCTTCGAAGTCGGAGTGCATCTGTCTGAGAGTCAAGGAACCAACAGTCTGCATTCAAATAAGTCAGATCTGTCAAATGGATGCACACGCAACACTCAGGTTCTGGACCAAGACCGCAGTCCACTTCCGAACGAACAACCAGAACTTTCCGCCGGAGTTTAAAGCTGGTGAATGCGAAGAAAAAACAAAAAAGCCTCTCTTGGTAGAATGGCTGGTCACTTGAGAGAGCAGTCCATGCCACAAAGCACAACTCCATAGGCTCAGCAACAGTCCTAACTGATCTCCAATATACCTATCCTTAAAAATAGAAAGACAGTCGAGAATGGAACCGATAACTTTTAGAGCCTTAGGCAAATGACTTAACTACTTCACAGAAGAGACCCCACTTCAGTGAATTTTATTCTTTGATAGTCACATGAGTTGTATTGTTGTCTTTTGTTTTAGAGGGGTGTTATCATACGCTATTGTGCTGCTTAAACTCCGACTGCGTATTCATAGTCAGTTTACTGGAACCTCAGTGGAAATTGAGAATGTCAGATTTTTGGAGGATGGAGTCATTCGAATACGGTGGCGTTTGAAAGGTGATTTCGTTTGTTTTCAATAATGTTTTCCCTTATGTGGAATTTTTATTATTATAAGAAGAATATTTGTTCATTATTTTTTTTAAAGAAAGATGTCCAGATTTCTGAAATTGAGAGAATTGTTTATGTGATTGTGTAATCTTTGTGTATAGTCTTCGCTGTGTAATTCAGCTGCAAAGAACAGTCACTTAAAAGCAATCTAAGGCTTCCATGGTGAGATGAACAGTACAACAAGAGTGATTGTGATGTGTATATTTTGGTTAAAAAGATTTGTTGTATACTTCATTATTTGTTGATGTTCCCTGTGTGGGTTCTATGGTCCCATTATTTGTTGATGTTCCCTGTGTGGGTTCTATGGCCCCATTATTTGTTGATGTTCCCTGTGTGGGTTCTATGGCCCCATTATTTGTTGATGTTCCCTGTGTGGGTTCTATGGCCTCATTATTTGTTGATGTTCCCTGTGTGGGTTCTATGGCCCCATTATTTGTTGATGTTCCCTGTGTGGGTTCTATGGCCCCATTATTTGTTGATGTTCCCTGTGTGGGTTCTATGGCCCCATTATATGTTGATGTTCCCTGTGTGGGTTCTATGGCCCCATTATTTGTTGATGTTTCCTGTGTGGGTTTTATTGTCCCATTATATGTTGATGTTCCCTGTGTGGGTTCTATAGTCCCAATATATGTTGATGTTCCCTGTGTGGGTTCTATAGTCCCATTATATGTTGATGTTCCCTGTGTGGGTTCTATAGTCCTATTATTTTTTGATGTTCCTTGTGTGGGTTCTATGGCCCTAATATATGTTGATGTTCCCTGTGTGGGTTCTATGGCCCTAATATATGTTGATGTTCCCTGTGTGGGTTCTATGGCCCCATTATTTGTTGATGTTCCCTGTGTGGGTTCTATGGCCCCATTATATGTTGATGTTCCCTGTGTGGGTTCTATGGCCCCATTATATGTTGATGTTCCCTGTGTGGGTTCTATGGCCCCATTATATGTTGATGTTCCCTGTGTGGGTTCTATGGCCCCATTATATGTTGATGTTCCCTGTGTGGGTTCTATGGCCCCATTATTTGTTGATGTTCCCTGTGTGGGTTCTATGGCCCTAAAATATGTTGATGTTCCCTGTGTGGGTTCTATGGCCCCATTATTTGTTGATGTTCCCTGTGTGGGTTCTATGGCCCCATTATATGTTGATGTTCCCTGTGTGGGTTCTATGGCCCCATTTTTTGTTGATGTTCCCTGTGTGGGTTCTATGGCCCCATTATTTGTTGATGTTCCCTGTGTGGGTTCTATGGCCCATTTATGTTGTTTCCTGTGTCGGTTCTATGGCCCCATTATATGGTAATGTTCCCCCTGTGGGTTCTGTGGCCCTATTATTTTTTGATGATCTCTGTCTGGGTTCTATGGCCCCATTATTTGTTAATGTTCCCTGTGTGGGTTGTGTGACCCCATTATATGTTGATGTTCCCTGTGTGGGTTCTGTGACCCCATTATATGTTGATGTTCCCTGTGTGGGTTCTATGACCCCATTTATAGCGCGGAAAAGAATAGACCCACTGTGCCCCCTAACAAGCGTGTCTTAAAAATCAACTAATTAGGGTTGTTTCCTTCAAAGTTGGAATGCATCTAAGAGGTTAGTAACCAATAGTCTGCATACAAATAAGCCAGATTTGTAAGATGGATGTTCAAGCTAAACTCAAATTCTGGGCAAGGCCAAAGTCCAGAAATGGACGATCAGCAAGGACTTTTCCCCAGTTTTACAGCCAGTGAACGCTAAGAAGAAGAAGCAGAAGAAGATTATGATAAGGCATGTTGAGAAATGCACCTGAAGAGATAGAACAAAATATACCAGGCAGTAAATCATACAATATTGTGTGTTTGTCCTCATTATTAAAAGCAAGTCTAAAAAAAAGGAAGTTTCAGAACCAGCCCCAGCATGTGCAGGCTGTAGTGGTTCTTCTAGGCAAATCTTCACTAGTTTGCCATTGCTTGCTTAACGGTCAGCTCTCTGTACCATTGTTGAAACCAACACAAGACAAATCCTCCGCAGCTGGGAACGAACCCCGCACCCCGGCATTTCGAAGGGATGTCTAGAAAAGATCTAAAAACATATGGAGAAGAGACAGGTGAATAACATCAGGAGGTCCCAATGTGGGTTCTGGGGCCCCATTTTGGGGGTTGGGGGGGTGAGGATAGACCTATTGTCCCTCTAATAAGCATGTCACAATAGGCCTCTAGTGGTTGTTGAAATAAATGTGTATGTTGAGTTGAAAGGGCAAGTAATCTACCCTCTCAGGTGTGAACACAGAAAAAGAAGAAGAGGTATGAATGAATGGAAAAAAACTATTCTTAGCCCTTTTAAAACAATGTTCATTCATTTGAAGAAGGAAAGGGAGGATAGAGAAAGAAGATTAAGAATAGAAGGGAGAGACTGAAGACGAAGAAGCAGAAACAGCAGAAAATGAAGAAGAAGCATTAGGTATATAACTTGCTTATAACTAAAAGAAATATTCACACATGCAGATAACAATGAACCTTAATATTATAAGCTAGAACCATACATTAATAAGAAGCTACATTATAAGATAACAGTCTGAGTGCATCATGAGGTGATCTGAGTAAAGGCTTTAAAAATGTAAGCATTGCTATAGGGTAAGAAGTAAATACATTTTTTTGGGGGGATCATAAATATATGTAAGTCGGCTCTGTGGCTAAGTCGATGCGAACACTTCGCTTCGTAATGCCGGGATGCTGGGTTCGATCCCAGCTGCAGGCAATGTGCCTTGCGTTGGTTTCGACAGTGGTATCAAGAAAGCCGACCGTCCAGAAAGCAATGGCAAACTACTGGACGTAATGTGCCTAGAGAAACCACACAACAGCCAGGGGCTGTTAGGGTTGGTTCTGCAACGTCCTGTAAAGGATACGCAACAACCTTTTTGAATATCTGTAAATGTTATCCTGACAATCTGTTCTTCAGCTGTCTCGCAGACTAGTCTTCTGAAAGCACTGAAGCTTATTGCTATAAATGCTGAGTAAGTATTCACACAGTCTTTCTTTTTCTACACTAGGGCATACAATTTTAAATTAAATTACCATTTTCCATACTTGAAACGTAATGGGTATATGGTGTCACTCCATATTGTGTATCTCTGTGGCTAAGTCGATGCGAAGGCTTCATAATGCCAGGGTTCCAGCTTTTATCCCAGCTGCGGGCCATGCACCTTGCATTGGTTTCGACATTGGTATCAGGGAGCCGGCTGTCTAGAAAGCAATGGCAAACTACTGGACGTAAATTTGTCTAGAGAAACCACACAACAGCTAGGGGATGCTGGGGTTGGTTCTGCAACGTCCTGTAAAGGATACACAACTAACCATATTGGGTATATGATGTCACTCCATCTTGGGTATATGATGTCACTCCATATTGGGTATATGATGTCACTCCATATTGGGTATATGATGTCACTCCATATTGGGTATATGATGTCACTCCATATTGGGTATATGATGTCACTCCATATTGGGTATATGATGTCACTCCATATTGGGTATATGATGTCACTCCATCTTGGGTATATGATGTCACTCCATATTGGGTATATGATGTCACTCCATATTGGGTATATGATGTCACTCCATATTGGGTATATGATGTCACTCCATCTTGGGTATATGATGTCACTCCATATTGGGTATATGATGTCACTCCATATTGGGTATATGATGTCACTCCATATTGGGGATATGGTATCACTCCATATTTATTTAAATTAACCATAGACACAGTGGGTCATACCACACAAGCTGCTTTTAGTTTCACAACTCCCTATGTGAGTTCCGGGGCCCTATTAATTAATAGGGAAAACAAGAATAGACCCACAGCCTAGCCAAAAGCATATCGTAAGAGTCAACTAATTGGGAGATTCCTTCGAAGTCAGAGTTCATCTGCCTGAGAGGCAAGGAACCAAAAGTCTGCATACAAATGAGCCAGATCTGTAAAATTGATGCTCACGCAACACTGAGGATCTGGAATAGGACTGCAGTCCAGAAGTGGACAAACTCCCAGAACCAGAACTTTCTGCCATAGTTTACAGCCGGGGAACGCGAAGAAGAAGAAGTCTCATAACATTTCCTGGCACCCTTTAAGGCTGTGGCTTCCATGTTGACATGTGGAATGTCTGGGTCACCTGATAGAGTTTGAAATCTATTCTTGAGTTCTACTGTGAATTTATTGTCAATGTCTTTTTCTCCTGATAGGTTGACATTGTAGCGTGCTGTCTGTGTCTTAGCTTGTCTGTGCACTTTTTTGAGTTTAAGTCATAGTAGCGCAACTACGAGGTGATAATCGCTACCCACATCTGCTCCCCTTTTGTCATGCACATCAAGTAGGGACCCACTCCATTTTCTTTTGTTTCTGATGAATCTTCTGGAAAACTGAGTTTTAACACATAGGTCCAATACATCAGTGTTCAAGTTATTTGTGACTTGAAAGTGGGACCCACACCATTTTCTTTTACTGTGAAATGGTCTATATGGTTTACAATATTAGATTCTAATAACTATAAAATTCTTGCACTGATGAATCCTCTGGAAAACTAAGTTTCAACACATAGGTCCAATACATCAGTGTTCAAGTTATTTGAGCCTTGAAAGAGAATTTCCTCCTATACTGATAGTTTCCTCATAGTACTTCTTCTTTTCGTTCACCTGCATGACATAACTAAAAGCACAGTGAAGATCAAAATCTGTTCTTGAATTTAAAGAAAACGAAAATAATGTCCACAGATAAAACTGGCTGTCACCCAAAAATAACAATAAATGATGAAGAAATTGAAAATGTCACAAACTTTGAATATCTAGGCTCTATAATAAACAGCAATGGAGAGTGTTTGACAGAAATTAAAAGGAGGATGGCCATAGCAATGCAAAGAACAGCCTTTAAAGTCTACGGTTAAGCACCAGCAAGGAGATCAAAATTAGAATTTTGAGAGCAAGCATCTTCCCTGAGGCTACATACGGATGTGAGTTGTGGACTATCTCTCAGTCCTTAAGAAAGAGAATAGGGGTTTTTTAGCTGAAATGCTGTAGAAAGATTCTCAGAATATCTTGGACAAAGAAGAGGAGAAATACTGACATCTTGAAAGATCTTAACATCAAGGAAGATTGGCTAATAAACAGCATCCTGTCTCGGAAGCTGAAATATTTTGGTCATATCAAGTGCCACGACAGATTGGAAAAAATTATAGCAGAAGGTATGATACCAGGAAGGAGGGGCAGGGGCTGACCGACACGAAGATGGGCACAGGATATAAGTGACTCCTTGAGTGTGAAAGTGCCTGAGGCAGGAGAACTGGCGAGAGACAGAGTTTCTTTCAGGCAGACTGTGTGAGAGCGACGTTCTGCAAAAGACCTGCTACATGATGATGCATGACATAACTGCAGTGAGTCTGTTTATAGCAGAGCTGCGATATTTGCGCCTTTTGGCTGACACATCTGACTTCATCAAGTATTTATTAACTGGCTTAACTTCCCGGTCATAGTACTTATTGCATAGAAACTGTATAAAAAACATAAAAATTATAGGGCATATAAGTAGAAGAGTTTCTTCTTTGCGTTCACCAGCTGTAAACTCCGGCGGTAAGGTCTTGTTGTTCGTCCACTTCTGGACTGCAGTCCTGTTCCAGAACCTGAGTGTTGCGTGTGCATCCATTTTACAGATCTGACTCATTTTTATGCAGACTGCTGGTTCCTTACCTCTCAGGCAGATGCATTCTGACTTCGAAGGAAGGAAGAGTTTAATAGACAAATTAGCTTTTTATGTGGGTAGGCGTTTATCTGCTTCTTTTTTCTCATCCTCCTCCTTTTCTTCTTATTTCATTGTAAGTGCACTGATGTACAAACTCAAATAATTGTTTTTCCCCACTGCCTGTTCTGTATTTTCAGCTCCATAGAAGCTTGTTCATATTTCCATGTTGATGAATCTGGCATTGTAAAGAAGCATAGGATAGAAAAGGTAAGTTATTTTACTTTTCGCGCCATGTCTTCTTCTTCTTCTTTGTGATCTCTAGCTGTAAACTCTGGCAGAAAGTTCTGGTTGTTCACCCACCTCTGAACTTTAGACCTATTTCAAAACCTAAATGTTGCGTGCACATCTGTTTTACAGATCTGACTTATTTGTATGCAGACTGTTGGTTTCTTGCCTCTCAAGTAGATGCACTCCAGCTTTGAAGGAAACTGCCAGTTAGTCAACTCCTACAACATGCTTGTTGGGGAAGCCTCACAAACCTGTTTTCCTCACAGTGGGGCTCCAGAACCCACACAGGGAAATTTACACTGGGGCCCTCACAAACAAAGAATAGTAATGCTGCACCTTGTCCTGCATGTCAGGTGACTGAGGGTAGAGTTGGGCTAAGGATTGGCTAACTCACCACATAAACAGCTATAGCCACAGACACCAACCAGCCATGGAAAGGTTTACAAGAGTAACAAAAATAATCAACCAACCAAGAAAGAAAGAGGTTCTTCTAAAAGAAGAATGATGATACATGGTGAAGAAAGCTGAAAGAAGTCCGCATCATAGATACACTTCCTTCCATAGGGAAAATCTCCAGAATTGGCACCTTTAATGATAGAATTTTGACGGGTGGGTTCCCTGGGCCCCATTGGGAGGGAAAAGAATAGACCCAGTGTCTTTATAACAAGTCATAAAAGGCAACTAATTAAGGATGTTTACTTTAAAGTCAGAGTGCATCTGCCTGAGAGACTAGAAGCCAACAGTCTGCATACAAATAAGCCAGATCTGTAAAAGGGATGTGCTTTTCTTTTACAAGAAGCAAGCAAGCAAACAAAAGGGATGTGCATGCAAGACTTGAGTTCTGCAAGAGGGTTAAGGTCAGAACTGGATGAACGACCAGAACTTTCTGCTGGAGTTTACAACCGGTGAACGCGCAGAAGAAGGAGAAGATTATAGAACTCTGTATGGTATAATAAGAGTAATAGAGTTTATAAAAGGGATGAAACATTTTAAGATTAGTTAAAAAAAAACATAGAGAAGGGAGCTTGAGAGTGAAGTTAAAGAGATGGGGCGGACAAAGGGTGAGCTGCATGCGAGGGGAAAAGGCTAACTTGGTCTGAGTTGGTTGAGAGCCTATGCTCCAGTGGGTGTTAAAGGGCAGGAGAAGAAGGCTGTTTTTAATTTGCAGTGTGATCATTTTACCTGGATCCTCCTACCAAATATCTGACATTCTGTCATTTGATCTTTCTACCTGTCATGTTAATATTATGCTTGTCAATTTAATATTAAATTTATATTTTATCATTTGTTACATAAATGGCCAGTTCTGCACCGCTTGGTACTGAATTGATGTATGACAAACTAGGTATTGTGAGGGCCCTTTGGGAGCGAGTGAACAGTGCAGAGGTACAAATAGATCATTACGGTCTGAGAAGAATGGGGGGGGGGGAGGGGGCTGATCCACCCCCTGCCCTCTAACAAGCATGTCGTAAAAAGTGATTAACTAGGAGTTTACCAAACTGGGATGTGTTGGGTGAAAGGTGAGAAATCACATTCTGACTGTACCCACAACACAACGTGCCAACTGACCTTTTAATGACAGACGTAGAAAACAAAGAATTATGAGTTCATATTAGTTTGATCCTGTTTCTTATTTTCATTAATTATTATTATTAGCTTCCTTCAGGACTGTTATCTGTTACTTGACAGCAGTAACATCTTTTAAACAAAGAGTGAACAGAACTGTGACATACAATAATGTTCGTGCAAAAACAGAGTTAAATGTATTTTTTTTTCCTCAGGTGATGCCATCTTCTAAAGAAAAAGCTGCTTTGTAGATTTGGAGGTCTTGTTTTTAACAGACAGGAAATCACTTGTAGCAAAGAATTGTGCTTTTGTTTGCTTATATAACAACAACATACACTAGATTGCAGAAAAGATGAGAGCTGGGCTTCTGAGAAGAAACGGATTAAACACAAATGTTGACAACAATGGTCCTGAAATCCCATGCTGACATTGTGGAAAACTTTTTTTCAAACACGGGCGGGACTTGCTAGTCACACTCGCCATCGCCATGGGCTGTGAGTCCCATGCCTCCTCATAGCACAATATAACACTGTCGTCTGGAAAGACAGAAAGGTGCCAGTCAATCATCAATTAAGCTAGCTGTAGACTACAGTGGAAAGGTCAGTTTTTTTCATCTGCTTCTGGACTTTCCAGAACTTGAATTTTATGTGTGCATTTGTTTTACAGATTTGGCTTATTTGTGTGCAGACTGTTGTTTCCTCTCCTCTCAGGCAGATAAAATCTGACGTTGAAGAAAACATCTCATAATTAGACACTTTTCATGACATACTTGTTGGGGAGCAGTAATTCTATTTTCAAATATAACACTGTCGTCTGGAAAGACAGAAAGGTGCCAGTCAATCATCAATTAAGCTAGCTGTAGACTACAGTGGAAAGGTCAGTTTTTTTCATCTGCTTCTGGACTTTCCAGAACTTGAATTTTATGTGTGCATTTGTTTTACAGATTTGGCTTATTTGTGTGCAGACTGTTGTTTCCTCTCCTCTCAGGCAGATAAAATCTGACGTTGAAGAAAACATCTCATAATTAGACACTTTTCATGACATACTTGTTGGGGAGCAGTAATTCTATTTTCAAACCCCCCCCCCCCCCCCCCCCCCCCCCCCCCGCGTCACCGCCAAGAAATGGGAGAGCCACAAAGCCTTAACAGAGAGCTTACATTAATGAATCTTTAGCTGATTAAAATGTTTTTGTGTGTGTGTTATAACAAAACTGTTTGTGGCAGCGTGGTGTGCAGTTTGTAGGGCACTAGTGTTACTTAAGAGTATAGTTTTTCTATATTACACAAAGTTACTAAAGGTCTATGAAACACTCTTACTCCCATTACATTTTTTTTCAGTTTAGAAAACAGCGGTTATGATAATGAGTGTATTTTGTTTGTTAATGCAAATAGCCAGTTACATTGTTATAGAAGTCCTTTGCTGGCACCTGTCGGTGCTTCCAGGCAATAACGCAATATTCTGCTCTTGGGAGACATGGGAATCACAGCGCATGGTGATGGCGAGTGTGACCAGCAAGACCTGCCCAGGTTAAGTAAAATCCTTCACAATAAGAGCTCCACGAGTGGATTCTGGCAGAATGACGAAAGGATCTGGCGGATACTCAACATTCAGAGACAGGAAAGTCAAGACAGACATATTATCAGATTGTTACTGGCACCATTGGTATTGGAACTCTTCATTAGCTGCTGAGTGCTTATGATAATGCTATGAATGCTGAGATGTTGGTTCTTGTATTGACTTAACTTTCAATGCCAGATAACGGTTAATTTAACTGATTCTGTGTAATCATTCTTCATCATAAAATGTTTCTTGTATGGGTCCCAGGACCCCATTCTGGGGGGGGGGGGGGGAAGACCCACTGCCTCCCCAACAAGCACATCATAAAAGTCGACTAATTAGTGCGTTTCCTGAAAAGTCAGAGTACATCCAAATAAGCCACAGTGCATTCAAATAAGCCAGATCTGGATGTGCACGCACAGCTGAAGTTTTTGAGCAAGACTTAAGTCTAGAAGTGTTTGAAGAACAAGGATTTTCCTTTATAGTTTACAGCTGCGGAATGCTAAGAAGAAGAACAACACAACCAGAACTTGTTGCCATTTTCAGGCAGTTGCACCATGACTTCAACGGAAACAACTGAATTTGTCTCCTTTTGCAACATGTTTGTTAGGGACATACAGTAGTGGGTCTGCCCCCCCCCCCCCCCCCCCCCCCCCCCCCCCCCTTTTATTGAAATGGAACCCCAGAAACCAACCCTGGAATTGCTTTAGCATGCCTTGAACTTTCCCCCCATGTATTTGAAAGTTAGTGTGAAATTATAATAAAAAAATAACTTTAACATATATATATATATATATGTGTGTGTGTGTGTTGGTTTTCTTTTCCTCTGTAAACTTAAATTATTCTAATTCGATCAACAGCATAAAGCTTCAGATCTTTGTGTCTGTGATAGTTTATAATAACTGCTTGGTTCATTAAAACAGAAGGCAAATCATGAAGTCAGCAGAGAGATAATATCCAAGCAGATCTACAAACATTTGGAGTCGGCAACTGGAAAGAGAGGGCCACTCACAGAGATGAAAGGAGACAGGTGACACCCGCAGCAATCAACCTCAAGCACTCAAAATCCTGAAGAAGTCAAAGACGAAAGCTAACAAAACAAGTGGGGCTGCTCGGCCTTTCAAGAACACAAATACAAGTGACAGATTAGTTGTTGCAGCTAGACAGCCTTTGGTAACTCAAACTAATCAACACTGCTACATCAAAATAATAGGGAAAAGTCACTTAACTTTGAAAGGGTTTACCCAGGAGACATTAAAATCTGTGGAGAAAAGGGGGGGGGGGGGGGATCAAGCCCTTTTTTCTTCTTCGTGTTCACCGGCTTTAAACTCCGTTCTGGTTGTTTGTCCATTTCTAGACTCTAGTCTTGCTCCAGAAACTGAGTGTTGTGTGCACATCTGTTTCACAGGTTTGACTCATTTGTCATTTGCATGTGGACTGTTGGTTCCTTGCCACTCAGGCAGATGTACTCCAACTTCGAAGGAAGCCCCCCATTTAGTCGACTCTTGTGACAATACGCTCGGTGACTTCAGAAAGTCTTTCCTCAACCTACTTTTATTTCTTTGTATTATGAAAGTATACAGGAAAATAGGGATTTGGATACATCCTTAATCTAAGTAGGCGAAATAAACAAGCATTTAATTCTCCTGGGATGTTGGCGATATCACACACTAAAACTTTTTCCCAGACGTTAAGTGTTAAGGTACAGAGATAAGACTGACCAAGCAGACTTACTGACTGGAGATTTGCACACCATTTGTTGGTGTCAGATAGTTATTCCCCCTGCCAGACCTTCAGGAACAGATAACAAGGGCTAATTGCCATTATCTCCCCCTGAGATTACCTAAACTGGAGTGCCGGTCCGACGGTCACTATTGACACAGTGAGCGGAAAGTGTTGGCAGAAGAATTGACAAAGTCGGATTTTATTGAGTCGAATCCATGAGATTTGTTATTTGATTCGCCCCAGACCTATTGTTAGCATTCTGGGCGCGGCGATTGTCCCAAGCATAGATTCCAGAACTGGTTCTGTCTGACTGATTGTCATTTGAGTCTGTACGAGAGATGGCACCTGACGTAGAAGACTTGACTATCATTACAGGACGTGTAGAGGAAGGCAGAAGATGTAACAGTTGGAATGTGAGACATAAGCCCTTCCAAATTGGACAGGAGTGAATGTGAGCATGAGGGAGAGATGAAATGTTTTATTTAAATAAACATGCTTGATGTTAGTATAATATACATGCTTAGTGTACATCTAGAGCAGATACTACAAATATGCGCTTGTTTCTTCATTCTCCAGTTCCCACATTGGGCAGGGACTAGTAGGCATCCATTATTTGCCGACCGTCGAGTGTAACGACCTGCAGAAAGCAGTGAGGACGACAAACTGGAAAAGATAGGCAGGGTCTCAAGCCGAGAACTGTCCTGATGAGCCAAGTTATGTACAACTTTAATGTCATCTATAACATCATCCCAACTCTACTAGCCTAAACAAGTTCATTTTATTTTAGTCAGATTTATTAAATAAATCATGTGTGATGAGTTTCATGATAGTTGAGTAAATTGTGTACTTAGGTTCAAGTGTCTTTGTGCATATTAGTTTACTTCAGCTAACAAATATTTAAATCACTTGATGGGGGCTTTTTAGCAATGCCAGGAGAGGAGACCAGTCGCAGGGGTTAACTGAGCACCTGGATTATATCACAGTGGGTGTATCCAGATATCTATCTATCCCTTCTCCTTCTCCTGTGGATACAAGTACAGCAACTTTCATTTCATGGAACGAGCCACTCGCTGTTTTCTTGGCTATCCAGGACTGTCTAGGATCAACATAGCTTAGATAATAGTCCAGTTTCTCACGTGGGTGGGCATTGGTAAGGTTCAAACCCACACCCTCACTATATCAGTGTATTTACCCACGTGGGCGCGCGACACTCTTATGACATGCTTGTTGGGTAGGCAGTAGGTCTATCCTTAATTTCCCCACGATAGGGCCCCAGAACCTATACAGGGACCTGCAAAAGCATGTCAACTATTCCAGAAGACCACTTGACTGGAACCCACACAGGGGGTGCTTTGTCCAGCATAGAACAAAAACAGCAGATATCAAGGCGAAACATTGTCAGCCATCACATCTCTGTTGTCACAATTTTACGTTCATTGGAGGATGTAAGTGTCCACGTTTGGCATTGATAGCATAGTGTTGGCCAAAAAATAGTTCTGATAAGATTCACTTTAGTACTCTGATGTATCTGCTTGTGTGTCAACAGGGGAGATAGTTGACCCATTACTTGATTAGCTTTGGCACATCTGGAGCTAATTTCTCTGTCCAGTTTTCCGTCAGATGTAAAAATTGCTACCAAATACTTAAATTCATCTGTTTGTCTCAGGGTGTTGTTTTTTAAATTTAATTTCTAATTTGTCTTTATGTCTTCCTATCATCATTGTCTCTATCTTCGTAGTGTTTATTTTCATAAATAGAATAAATGCGGGATATAAAACCAAAACCCACCACTGATACCAAGTGATTCAGACTGTTCAGAAACTACTCGAGGACAGAAAATATAGAGGGTATAGACCTCGTTCTATCAATGATATATATTATTACTTTTACCAATGGCCACGTCATACCCAAAAATGGAAAGCATCTTATGACATCGCAAATATAAAAGTAACTGGAAGAAAACATATCCACTTTTCAAAAGATCTTCAGACGGATTAGAGGCAGCATATTGTAAACTGTGTCAGTGCACTGTTGCACCAAGAATTAGTAGCATATCAAATCATGAAAAGTCCGAAAAACACAGGATGAAAACTCTGTCAAAAAACCAGTCACAGCTTATCACAACAATGACTCCTATCCTAGGCAAAGTTATGATAAAGTTGAAGGCCACAGAGCTGCAACTTGCTGTAGGCATGACCTGCCATTGGGCAATACGCACAATTGATCATCTAAGTGAAATCACGAGAGCGAATGGTCGGGGGAGTACATTAAAGCACATACAGTTGCATATAACTAAATGTTCAAGAATTAAAAAAACAATATTATATCGCCTGCACTTAATGCAGATGTCTTGGACTATAGGAAGAAGTATTTACCAACTAGCGTTTCTAGGACATCCGCTAACTGTTTATATATTTAGAACATTGGAAATAGGTGTAGCAGCCTGCCAAAGCTGACTACAACCCCCACTCTATAAATTGTTTGCAAACCGGCTTGTGACTGACTGACTGACTTTCTACCACATCACACAAGCGATAAACACCCGATATGACACAATGTGCCACCATGTGGATGAGGATCGCCGTGGAGAGGTCCCAGAAACCGCGTTCAGACAATTGGCCATATTTATGGCCTGCCTATATTGCGGCCTCTGGCAAAAGCCAGGGTGGGGCTTCAAAAAACACAAAATTACGTCCTAAAAAGGACGTATAAATAAGAAAGCAAAATACCGGTTGTGACTGACTGACTGACTTTCTACCCCACCAGGACATCACACACGCGATAAACACCCGATGACACAAAGTGCCACCATGCGGATGAGGATCGCCGTGGAGAGGTCCCAGAAACCGCGTTCAGACAATTAGCCATATTGATGGCCTGCATATATTGCGGCCCCTGTCAAAAGCCGGAGTGGGGCTTCATATAATAAAAAATTACGTCTTAAGAAGGACGTGACTGACTGACTTTTTACCCCACTAGGACATCACAGAAAGAGCTATAGAAGTAAAGACTGATTTGTACTTATGCTTCATAGACTATACAAAAGCATTTGACTGTGTGAAGCATGAAGAAGTAATCAAACTGTTAGAAAAATTAAACATTGATGGGAAAGATCTAAGAATAATAAAGAATATGTATTGGCAGCAAACAGCAGCTATAAGAATTAACAACTGTTTAGGTACATTTCAAAGCATAAAGAGGGGCGTACGACAAGGATGTGTACTTTCACCTGATTTGTTTTCAATATACAGTGAATATATTATGAGATCTTTAATTGATATGCCCGGAATCGTGGTTGGTGGGCACAATATAAACAATTTACGTTATGCTGATGACACAGTCTTGATAGCAACAAGTCAGAAAGAATTACAGGAAATGATAAACATTGTGGTGTTAGAAAGTGGAAGAATGGGCCTCAGTTTGAATAATGGGAAGACTGAAGTAATGGTGGTATCAAAGAAACAAATTATTCCTAAATGTGTAATAAAAGTCAATGGTGTGATTTTAAGACAAGTACAGAAATTTAAGTATCTGGGCACATGGATAACATCAGATGGAAGATGCATAACTGAAATAAGAAACAGAATTGGACAGGAAAAAACTGCATTTTATAAAATGAAAAACATCTTGTGCAATATATCCTTGTCATTGAGAGTTAGAAAAAGAATTCTTGCTTGCTACATACATCCAGTTTTAACATATGGATGTGAATCCTGGACAATCGGTAGGCAGGCCAAACAATTTTTAGAGGCCTCAGAGATGTGGTTTTACAGAAGAATGCTTAGAATACCTTGGACAGCCAAAAAGAGCAACCAAGAGGTTTTAAAAGAGGCGGGAGACCGAAGACAACTTATCACTGACATCAGAAGGAGACAGTCATCATTTTTCGGCCATGTTATGAGAAGAGGGAAAATAGAACATGTTGTGACCACTGGAAAGATCTGTGGAAGGAGGGATAGAGGAAGACAACGAGAGAAGATGCTTGACAGTCTTGTTGCATGGCATGGAGGTGTGTCGGCACACGAACTGATACATTCTGCAGGAGATCGCGGATTATGGAGAGGCATGATCGCCCACGCCAGTCGGCAAGGCACCTGATGATGATGATGATGATGAGGACATCACACAAGCGATAAACACCCGATGACACAAAGTGCCACCATGCAGATGAGGATCACCGTGGAGAGGTCCCAGAAACCGCGTTCAGACATTTGGCCATAATGATGACCTGCCTATATTGCGGCCCCTTGCAAAAGCCAGAGTGGGGCTTCAAATAACAAAAAATAACGTCCTAAGAAGGACGTAAGAAATAATGTATTAATGCTATATATTTTGAAACCGCGTGACGTTTGGTTACGACCAAATCTGCTTATTTGTAGCGGAAATTATGCTGAATCTTTTGTACAATGCATTATGGAAAGATGTCAAGTATTTCTGCTGTTTTGATTCATTTGTTTCAACAAACCCCTATCCTGTTACTTATGTTTGCGTTCGACTGATTACTAAAAGGCATCTGACATTTAAATTTAAAAGCAGGCTGACAACTCCATAGACAAGTTTTCACAGTTTAGCAGGTTTTTTCCCTTAGTAATAATGCAGGGTGATTTTCGGAACAAGAAATATGCCATCATTATAGATGAGTTGCAAAGATTTCATCCCATCTGAGAAAATGCTTGAAGATTTTACACCCGAAAAGGTTTACGCTGTGTCTTCCACTTGTTCCAGTGAGGATGACAGTGAAAAGTTCCATCTAGAGCTTTTGATGTGAAGCGAGTACAATTTTACACTTTTTCTGGCATTTTCTGGCATATTTTGGGCAATGGTTTGGCATAAAATTATGTTTTTTTTTTATCTGGCAGCCCTGCGCCCCCCCCCCCCCCCCCAAAAAAAAAGGTTAGAAAACATTTGGAAACCAAAAGGTTACTTCTTCCTTGCCTCTCTGGTCGATGCACTCCCTTTAGTAAAAACTCTTACGACATACTTGTTAGAGATGCAGTGAGTTTGTCCTCTCCCCCCCCCCCCCCCCATATGGGATTCGAGGAGGAGCTCACACATATAAGCCATGAATATCAATTACCTTTTAGAATTTTTAATTTCATAACATTACTAGGTAGAGTCGCCGTGGCGTTGGCGGCTACACGCCCGCCTGCGGATCGGGAGGTCGTGGGTTCGCGCCCTGACGGAGCCGGACAATTTTTTTTAAAAATGACTTTGACTCCCAGGTCGACCCAGCCAGGTCCTGCTGTATATAGCTTGCTAACTGTTTAGATAAGGCGAACCCATGCAGGACAATATAACCGGTAATTAGGAAATACTGGTATCACTGTTTATTCTAGTTGTAGTCATTTTCAGTCGGCTCTGTGGCAAAGTCAATGCGAACGCTTCTTAACGCCTGGATGACGGGTTCGATCCCAGCTGCGGGCCACGCGCCTTGCGTTGCTTTCGACAGTGGTATCAAGAAAGCTGACCGTACAGAAGCAATGGCAAACTACTGGACGTAAATTTGCCTAGAAAACCCACACAACAGCCAGGGCTTTTAGGGTTGGTTCTGCAACGTCCTGTAAAGGATACGCAACTTAGTAATTTTCAAGTCAATTATGGTCGTTTTAGTGATTCGTGAAAGTCGCATTTAAAAGAGTTTACCTAATTATTTCGGGGAAGGTAGGTGGGGGGCGTCCTCAACCTAAAAAGTACCGGCGCCTAGGAATGAAACAGACGAACAGTTAGCGACAATGCAGGATCTATGGAGTACTAGAGACATTTTGCAAGCAGTGGCAAAGCGAGGTCGGGTGGTACCCGAGGCGGAAAAATTCCGATCACCCCTTTCCTTTTTTTTCAAACACAAGCGCACACACATATATTTATAAATATTTTAATTCAAAAACATATACTGTTCCTATTTTCTCAATCCTTCAGGGATGACACCAGGAGCGGCCCGCCCGCACTCGCACCCTCCCCGGGCCACTGTTTATAAGTGTATATGTGAGATATAGGCCGGTACCTTTCCGTCTTTCCAGACGGGTGCCCTATTGCTTTATTTATGGAGGCATGTGAATCCCAACCCAAAGCGATGGCGTGTGTGACTAGCAAGACCATTTCGCGACAAGCACATCTTCTACAAAAAATGCATGACATGACAAGATCACTGTTGACCTCATGTTACTTGACATTTTTCTCCCCAGATTCTCATTATAACCTGTCTTTCAAAAATGATCTTGGCTCCCAGGTCAACCCAGCTTTGAGTTGGCACCAGATACAGTCATGGGAAGTAAAGGCGGCCGGTGTGATGCTGTAGGTCTAGCCCTATATATCTAATACGCCTGAAGGCGTGGAAAAGTGTCTTTTACTTTACTTTTACTTACTCATAGAAAGAAGTAGAGAGATAGGATGACACACTAGACAGCATACAAATCAAAAATGTATTTATGGGTTAAAGTTTGAACTGACCCGGACTTCCGTTTCCTGTTAATTTTCGATTCCGCAACCTTAGAGAACCAGAGCAGAATGTTTGGTTAGAGGGGACGGACTGCTGGAAAAATTGTTTGTCTGTACCATGGCTTACCGCTTTAGAAAGCTGAAGCAAACGCTTAGAATAATCCCATGTACAAAATCTATAGGGTTTTCTACTCGTGCCAATGAAGGGGATCAGTCAAAGAATGTAAGATTTAAGTGACTTCTCGAACAATACAAAGTCAAAGTCATCACAAACAGAAAATTTCGCAGTGTTTCATCCGTGTCATGTCATTGTTCTATGGCCTTCATATTTGATGTATGTTCATTGTATTTGCAATACTTTTCTTCGATATTTTTCTATGCAGTAGAGGGCTGTAAAGATTTTTTACTGCCAAGAGAGGTTTGGATATTTATAACATCATTCTTGGTCAAATTTATTGCGGTTGCCTAGTTAGGTCCAGACCATATAATTTCATTGAAATTGTAAGGCCTGCTTGTAAAACAAGTTTAATTATGGATATGCTAAATATTAATTCTGTCCTGATAATTCTTTTTGCTGGTTCTGCCATGTAATTCCTCTATAATCTTCTTTCCCCAAAGTCTAAACCTCTTCTTCTTCTCCATCTTCTTCACGTTCACCACCTGTAAACTCTGGCTGAAAGTTCTGGTTGTTCATCCACTTCTGGACTGCAGTCGTGTTCCAGAACCTGAGTGTTGCGTGTGCATCCATTTTACAGATCTGACTCATTTGTATGCAGACTTCTGATTCCTTGCCTCTCAGGCAGATGCAATACAACTTCGAAGGAAGCTTCCAATAAGTCGACTTTTATGACATGCTTTTGGGTAGGCATTGGGTCTATTCTTGTTTTCCCCACTATAGGGCCCCAGAACCCTCACGGGGATGTCTAAACTGCTATATCTTTTATCTTGCTTTCACCATTGACACATCTTGTATAGTTTGTTAATGGGTGGTATCTTCAGTTGTGCTGTCATTTACCGCTAGGGTGTGGTTTATGCAGCTTGCTGCCAAATTATTAGATTTCAGCTAAGTCTTAATTAGTCATGTTTAAGTCAAAGTCACCTCTTTGTAAATTTTTTTTTGGAAAATCCATCTGGGCCTTATTTTGGAGCCTACTAACAGTGAAATATCAAAGGTATGTGAAAAAACAACCTAGCCCTAATTACGGCCAAAATTATGTTGGCTGTTTTAAATTCAGCCTTCCGGCAGTATTGCTAGATTCAGCCCTGTTTCGGTCCAGGGTTTTCCATATAGAAAGAGAGATTGATTTGATTTGATTTGATTCAAGAACCGACATCACAGCACTCGGGGCATTCCCATAAGCACTCTGTCCCTATCTTCAGCAGCCAGTGAAGAGTTCCGATACTAATGGTGCCAGTAGCATTCTGATTAAAGGTCCGTCTTGCCTTTTCTCTGAGCCTTGAGCGTCTGCCAGAACCTCTCTTCACCCCCGCTGCATCAATCTCACCACAGAAAGAGAGAGAGAGAGAGAGATGATTCTGCACATGTTTTGAGTTTCTGTCATCAGCTGGTTGAAGATTAGTTTTTTATTGCTTATGAGTGGTCTGAAGATGTTGCATGTTTGTATTGTTTGAATATGCAATCATATTTCTGATATACTGGGTTCTTTTACTCTCCACTTGGTTCTGTAATTATCAGAGCAACAAGCCAAGGACTCTACTGCTGCATCAGGCAGGTGGTGCTAGATATATATTTAAATACCAATATTCACTTGATCAGTGATGTTATCATCACACCAGACACTTTTACTTCCTAAGTGTTCTGTAGTTACATGTAAATCTCTTGCCTCAATTATATGCTTTGTCTGTGTCAGGCTGTAGTTTTCCACCCTCTTATTTTGCCAGTTTCTCCATTGCCAGATAGCATTATCTTATTTATTTCAGCAGAATTACAGTAACATCTGAGCATATTGAAAAGAGAATCAGATCCTGAACATACTGGCTATAAATGAGAATGCTGCCAGTTCCTTGGAAAGATTCTTAAAACTTTAAGGAATATTTGTTTTGATAAATTATTCTGTTTTAATTATTTTCAGTCACCTATAGACGGGAGCCCAGTAAGCCCATCCCTAGACAGAAAGGAAGGTAGAGTGCCATGTGCTACTAATAGCGATCAAGCAGTTTTCTGTCTGGGTGATGGATTTCCTAGTGTACCAACAACTTGTACTGTAATAAGATCGTCGAGCGAATCAGATTTGCAGAATCACTTACAGCCATTTCGCCACTGTAGAAATGTCAACCTGCCAGCCATGTGTAAAGACAATGTCCAGGTGTTGCTTCCAAAAATATGTGATGAAGACCCGACTGATGATAAAGACCTGGTCTTCACTGCAGTCAAATCTGTCGGATTTACAAGTGATGACATTCTTGTCCACCCTCGTGCTTCATTTGTTGACAGTAACATCATAGTGTCCACTCGAGAACATATCCCAGTGGACATCATTACCCATCAGCACTTTCGACGACTTGCTTATGAAATGGTGCTATTTTCTCATGACTTACCACAGTTGGACGGGACTGTCGGTGTTGACTGCGCGTCAGGGTCCCCCATGTGTAACGGCGTTAGTCAGCCACTGTCACATGTTTATCATTATTCTGACTCTGGTTCAAATTCCAGGCCTAAAGGAAAAAATCATTCAAAAGATGGGCCCAGCCCAGAACAGTTGTTGGAAGCAAGAGAGAAGGTGGAAGGTTTGGTGAGTGCATTGTTTGTTGTTTGATGACTTCTTCTTTGCACTTTATCATAGACTATCAACCAACTCAAGTCACTCTTACTGTTGCTTTTGCATGCTGTTACCTTCCCATCTTTTTCACTTCACTGGTTAATTCCCTTCTCCATATATTTTTTGTCTACTTTCATTCCCAGCAAAATTGCTAGGTGTGGAGAATGTCCCAGCAGAACTTTTGAAACATGGAGGAGTACTTGTAACTAAGATGATGACAAAGGTATGTCAACGGATTTGGGTCACAGTGAAGTGGCCTTTTGAAAGGACACAGTTGTTGGTGATACCACTGCCCCCTTTGTGTCCCCCCCCCCCCCCCCCCAAAAAAAAGGAAATCTTAGCATTACAGAACAAATCTTTAACATCAGAACAGTGATAGCAAAACCTTACATCAACTTGACCTATACAACTGAATTAATTTTACAAAAGCTTCTGACAGTATGTTCCATATTTGGTTCCGGCAAATAGTGATGAATTGCAGCTTCGAGAAGAACATCATAGATACCACTGAAGATGCAATCAGTGCAGTACTCATACAAAATGACATGGCCAGATTTTTCAAAAACTGTGTGGGACAATGTGCAGCCCTGTCTCTCATGATGTATTCCAAGTATAAATTGAAAGGCTTTTAAATTTAACCTTGAAATACATCATGACAGAAACACAGACAAATCGTGAAACTTCTATATCTATTGATGAAAGACCACTATGTAGTCAGAGAAGAGGTGGGGGTAAAGCAGATCTGGAATGACAACATCAAGAAATGGACAGGATTAAATTATTATTCACATGCTCAACAAGCGAAAGATGGCGGATTTTGTGTGCTGCACCTCCGTGGGTCAAGTGTTATGTGTTTTTATTCCTTTGACCTTGTGGGTTTCAGTGCAAGACACTCTAGTTGTATCAGACATAAAATGCTAGACAGATTATTATGGTCCAGTCGGTGCTCAGTGAGTGATATGTTCAACATCACGCCGCCATGCCTACCAAAAAGACCCTCAATGCTTTTCTAGTTCTCTTGTAGTTTTAAATGCAGGATGTATTTATCTTTTTCTTCTTCTTCGCATTCACCAGCTGTACCCTCTGGCGGAAAGTTCTGGTTGTTCGTCCACTTCTGAACTGCAGTCCTGCTCCAGAACCTGAGTGTTGCATGTGCATCAGTTTTACAAATCTGATTCACTTGAATGGAGACTGTTGGTTCCTTGCTTCTCAGGCAGATGCACTCCGACTTCAAAGGAAGCTCCCCAATTAGTCGACTCTTACGATATGCTTTTGGGTAGGCAGTGGGTCTATTTCTGTTTTCCCCACAATAGGGCCCCGGAACCCACACGGGGAGATAAATTTATGTCTTGTGCCCATTGTCGGACGACTGCCTATTCTTCCAGGGACCATGCCTTCCATTGCTGTTTTTTCTTAACCACTATAACATTTGATGTACATTGAATGTATTTATAGAAATATGCAGTGCTCTTATGTCTAATTTTTTCCTGTGGTCTAGGTTGTTAGGGGAAGCTGCCATGGTGTGTGGACTAAATACTCACCTGAGGATCCGAAGATCCTTGGTACATGTCCTGCTATGTCATCAGCCTTTGTATTAAGTTTTCTTTTGAACGTCCGCACTTCCTTAATCCCTATATTTAACATTTTAGTTATTCTCTGCTCGTTTCTTCTCAGGAATGTCTTCTTTAACTTATAACTGTTGTTACAAATGGTTGCCCAGACATTTCTCTTATTTCATCACCCATCTTGAATTCATCCTAGTTTGTGTTCAACATTTTTCTTGGGCATTACCAAAGTAATGCTTTGCTAATATTCGTTGTTTTTCCTAACACCTTTGGTACCGGAGAAAAAAAAATGCATCATGGTGTAAAAGTTTTCTGTTTTCCCCCAAAATAATAATTAGATGATTACATTAACTGTTTCATGCTTTCTCCGCAGGTGATACATTTATTCTCAGGTTACCATAATTTCAAGGTGCTACACAAAAATGTTGTCTTGGAAAATAATCTCTTTGGAGACAACAAGATTTCTGTGTAAGTGTATATGCAAGTTTTACTGAACTTTTGTGTGTGGACAACATTATTTCTGTGCCTATAATCTGCTTGGTTTACTTAACTTTCTGCTTGTTTTACTCAACTTTCTGCTGGTTTTACTCAACTTTCTGTTTGGGGAGGAAACAAGATTTCTGTGTCTGTAACTGCTTGGTTTACTTAACTGTCTATTTGGAGAAACCACAATTATGTCTGTGCCTACTTTTTTTTTTTTTTAACTCAACTGCCTACTTGTTTTACCTAACTTTCTGTTTGGGAAAAACCAGATTTGTTTGACTATGTCTGCTTGTTGTAGTTAACATTATTTTTGTGGACAACATGGTTTATATTAGGGCTGTACCGAATAGTGATTTTCACTATTCGGCCGAATACCAATAGCTGGACCAACTATTCGGCCGAATACAAATAGTGAATCATCATTATCAGGTGCTTTGCCGACTGGCATGGGCGATTATGCCTCGCAATCTGCGATCTCCTGCAGCATGTATTAGTTCGTGAGCTGACACATCTCCATACCATAAAACAAGACTGTCAAGAATCTTCTCTCGTTGTCTTCCTCTGTCCCTTCTTCCACATATCTTTCCAGTTGTCACAACATGTTCTATTTTCCCTCATCTTCTAACATGGCCGAAAAATGATGACTGTCTCCTTCTGGTGTCTGTGAGTAGTTGTCTTCGTCGGGCTCCCGCCTCTTTTAAAACCTGTTGGTTGTTGTTGTTTTTTTTTTCTGTCCAAGGTATTTTTAGCATTGTTCTGTAAAACCACATCTCTGAGGCCTTAAAAAATTGTTTGGCCTGCCTACCGATTGTCCAGGACTCACAGCCATATGTTAAAACTGGATGTATGTAGCAAGCAAGAATTGTTTTTCTAACCTTCAATGACAAAGATGTATTGCATAAGATGTTCTTCATTTCATAAAATCCATCTGATGTTATCAATGTGCCCAGATACTTAAATTTCTGTACTTGTCCCAAAATAAAACCATTGACTTTTATTACACATTTAGGAATAATTATTTTCTTTGATACCACCATTACTTCTGTCTTCCCACTATTCAAATTGAGGCCCATTCTTCCACTTTCGTTTATAAAATAAATCTTTAAAAAAAAAAAAAAAACTTTTAAAATGTCAAATGTACGCTGAAATTTTACTTCACAAAATGTAGTACACAGTAGTAAACATTTAAAAACATTTCATATTTTGCATCCTTCAGTCAGTCAGTGTGTGGTAACTAATACCTAGGAATGAACGTATTCTTAGTTTTATAACAAGTAACTAAACATGTAAATTGTCACTGACAGCTTAATTAATCCATGAAAGTGGCATTAGCTTTCCACACACACACACACACACACACACACACACACACGCGCGCGCGCGCGCGCGCGCGCGCGCGCACGCACGCACGCGCGCACACACACACACACACACACACACACACACACACACACACACACACACACACACACACACACACACACACAAAAAAACCTTTGTTCCATGTTGTCAGCATTAAGGTAGCTTCTTGTCTCAATGAAGGTATTTCCAGCTGTATTAAACAGACGTTCACTTGGTGCATTCGTAGGTGGTGCACAAAGATAACTCTTGACAGTATGAACCAAGGTGGGAAATCTTGATATGTTTATTTTCCACCAGTCCAGAAACGGGTGTGAGGTAACCACTATTCGTATTCGGCCGAATACCGAATAGTTATTTGGTCCACTATTCCACCCCGAAGTGAATACGAAGCGAATATTCGGTACAGCCCTAGTTTATATATATAAATGCATCTGCTTGTTTTACTTAACATTCAGTTAAAGGGAAACAGTATTTCTATGTTCTGTTTGCTTGTTTGACTTATAATTATATTTGGTGGAAACAAGATTTCTGTTTTCTGTGTCTGCTTGTTTGACTTAACATAATGTTTGCCCCTTTAAAGATTGGTTGGCTTGTGTTGTGGTTTACAGCTAGACTTTGATATTTGCTCCTTTTGGCCCAATACATCCAACTTCAGCAAATGCTTAATTAGTCGTCTTTTACAAGTTTGTTAAGGAGCAGGGGGTGTAGTTCCCCACTCCCTCGGATATTCCCTAAATGAGGCCCAGAAATCACACAGGGAACTGTGAAAATGAGATGTTGGAGAAAGGTTGGAGGAATGATCAAAAGAGATAAAATTAGCGATAAAGTCATAGGAGAAGAAGTCATAATGGAAATAATATTAAACTGCATAAAATGGCAGCAAATAAAATTGTTATTCCCACTTAGAGAAAATGCCTTGTAATACCATACCAAAGAGAGGAAAAAGACGTAGAGGTTGACCAAGAACATAATGGAAAGATAACATCTGGGAAAGTCTGTGACGGTACAGGAGAATATGGTCAATGCGGCTAGAACTGCAAAAAGCAGAACCTTGTATCTTCCTTGACACCTGAAGCAGCATAAATAGAAGGGAGGAAGAAGAAGGGCAACAAGATATCCATGTGTGTCTACAAATATTGCTTTTTAATGTTTTGGACAAGAAAAAGTCCACATATATCTACATATAATTACTCTTCGTGGTTAGGACAACATAAATGCATGTTATTTTTCTGCCAGGTTTTACTGCCCACGTTATTCCCCCTGTGGGTTCCGGGGCCCTATTATAGGCAAAACAAGAATAGACCCACTGCCTACCCAAAAGTTAGTCGTAAGAGTCGACTAACTGGGGGCTTCCTTCGTAGTCAGAGTGCATCTGCCTGAGAGGCAAGGGACCAGCAGTCTGCATACAAATGAGTCAGATCTGTAAAACGGATGCACACGCAACACTCAGGTTTTGGAACAGGATTGCAGTCCGAAAGTGGATGAACAAGTAGAACTTTCCGTCAGAGTTTACAGCTGGTAAACAAGAAGAAGAAGAAAACAGCCCACGTTGGCATACAAGATGTCTATGTTTGCAACATTTTTTGCTGTGTTTGAGAGCAATGAGATTTCAGTACATGATATTCTTTGATTTCAAAAGAAAGTGAAGGATCCATTTTCGTGCCTTGAAGGGATTGGTCATGTGGTGCTAACCCCATACTTTTTAGACCAATCAGCACTCTTTGTCACATCATTCTCTTTAGGCTGAGTGAGCCTGGAACATTCTTTGTAAAATTTTCTTTTTCCCAGCATTCTCGGGCTAAAAACTTCTGTGGAAAGTTCTGGTTGTTTGTCCACTCCTGGACGTTTGTCTTGACCCAGATCTTGAGTTTTGCGTATACATCAGTTTTTACAGATTTGACTCATTTGTATGCAGACTGGGGTTCTTTACCTTTAAGGCAGATGCATTCTGACTTTGAAGGAAAACACCCCTGATTAGTTTTAGTTGCCTTCTACGACATGCTAGGGGGAGGGGTGGGTGCACCGGGTCTATTCTTTGCTCTCCAACATGGAATTCACATGGGGAGTTTTAAAAACTAAAATGACATTTCTTTATTTTGTGTCCTTTATCCCATGCATAACTTTATTAACAGATTAAATGCTTGCACTAGGACATCACACAGGCGACAAACACCCGGTGACACAAAGTGCCACCATGCAGATGAGGATAACCCGCCATGGCCACAATTGCGGCCCAGTTATAATGAGGCCCCCCGGCAAAAGCCAGGCTGGGGCTTCAAATAACGAAAAACTGCACTCCATAAGGGGGTGATTGAAGTACACAGATTAAATGATGTATGAAAAATACATTGCAATTTTGAATTTTTTAAAAATGTTTCAGAGGGCTAACGGCATACAAGCTATCTCTGCTGAAGCTTCGACTGCAAATTCACACTCAGTTATTCAGTACTTCGATGGAGATTCTGAGTGTGACAACTTTAGAGCAGACAGGAGTTATCCGTATACACTGGAGGCTTAAAGGTCTGTGCAACTTGTTGAATTAAATATTTCAGTGTTTCATTGATTTATTGCCCTTTCTTACTTATTTTGCCTGTTATTGCCCCTTTCTTAGTGTGTGTGTGTGTGTGTTTTCCCTAAGTAGGGCAGTTGGCACGGTGTGTCATGGTTTGCAGCTAGACTGTGATATCTGCACCTCTTGTTCCATCTCATCCAATTTCAACAAACCCCTAATTAGGGGCCTTTGATATATTTGTTAATGGGGGAGTCCCCCCCCCCCCCCCCCCCCCCCCCCCCATCTAAGCGTCAGCCTTCAGCCTACTCATGGTATGTTCTTCATGATTGGTTGCATTTTGTAGCTTTAAGATTGATTAAATTTTTTAGCCGAAATTTTCTGTTAGATGAGGCAGACAATCTTGTGCCACTCTTAGATGCCTCTAAAACAATGCTGGTAGGTTATAGTGTTACTATTCTTTGCTTCCCTTATACACACTGGTAATCCCCATGTGGGGTCTGGGACACCATTTTCGGGAGGGGTAGACCCGCTGACCCCTAACAGGCATGTCGTAAAAGTCTACTAATTAGGAATATTTCCTCTGAAATGGGTGTGCATCTGCCTGCCTGAACTGATTAAAAAGGAAAGTAATGTTTGTTAAATATTCCAGTGCTGCGTCACGTGTTTGCATTTATGTTTGATATCATTGTAATATTGTTTTCTACAGGTCTGCCACAAATTCAGAACCTCAAATTTTGGCGATTGTTTCAGTCTCGTCCAGCCATCAGTAAAGAAGATTGGGAGTGAGTATTTATACAAACATTTACTCGTAACCCCGTGTGGGTTCCGGGGCCCTATTGTAGGCAAAACAAGAATAGACCCACTGCTTCCCCAAAAGCATGTCGTAAGAGTCGACTAACTGGGGAGCTTCCTTTGAAGTCGGAGTGCATCTGCCTGAGAGGCAAGGAACCAGCAGTCTGCATTCAATTGAATCAGATCTGTAAAACTGATGCACACACAACACTCAGGTTCTGGAGCAGGACTGCAGTCCAGAAGTGGACGAACAACCAGAACTTTACGCCAGAGTGTACAGCTGGTGAACGCGAAGAAGAAGAAGATTTACTCGTACATACGACACCTGTAGACATACGCATAATCAGCAAACTGATCGATTGGGAGTGAGTATTTATACAAACATTTACTCGTAGATACGACACCTGTAGACATACTCATAATCAGCAAACTGATAGATTAGGAGTATTATACAATCATATAAAAAAATTCCTCGTGTGGTTTCTGGGGCTCCATTGTGGGGAAAATGAGAATCGACCCACTGCCTCCCCAACAAGCATGTTGTAAGAGCCACCTAATTGGGGGCTTCCTTCGAAGTCAGAGTGTATCTGCCTGAGAGGCAAGGAACCAACAGGCTGCATACAGTTAAGTCAGATCTGTTAAAATGAAGTGCATGCAATGCTCAAGTTCTGGAACAGGACTAAAGTCCAGAGGTTGACGAACAACCAGGACTTTTTTACCAGAGTTTACAGCCAGGGAACGAGAAGAAGAAGAAGATATAAAGACATGATAAGCTTTAGTAGCTAGTGGGCTGGCCTTATAGTAGCCTGTTAGTGCTGAAGATTGGGTGGCATATACTAAACCTGACATCCCGCATTGTGCCAGTGACTTTGAGCAGAGGAGTGTTTTGGGAAGGGTACTAGTCTTATCCTAGCCTGAAGAAATGCAGCCTGTTAACTTAATGTTATGGCCAGGCAGACCAGGCCCATCGCCTTGACCAGCAGCTTGTCTAGGAGGGTGGACACACAACACTGCTCTTCTGATCCAGCATTAGTTCAAACTTATTAGTGTTACCTCGCCATTGGAGTTAATAAAACATGCCGAAAGATGGATCGTTCTGCTTGATCAACACATGGTCTGTAGAGTACTGACCAGTTTTCATGCTCTGAAGAGGAGGCACTCCATGCCTGACCTTAATTGGCACAGTGGCTTTATATCTCATTGCACTTATTGCGTAAAGGTTCTTCTCAATGTGAGCTTGTCTAGCTAGTCTGGGCTGTGATTTCCTGGGGCACGATTTAACAGTTGCCTGGAAAGACGGAAAGGTGCCAACCAACCCACTGCGGTTTTAGGGAATGTTACAAGATGAGGCCCCAATGTCTTCCACAAATTGTAACAAGGAAAGATGGTAGAAACTTATAGCACTATGTTCAGATACCAGTGTTCGAGAAGATGGAGGAGAATGAGAAGGTGATAAGATGCAGCAGCAGATAGGAGAGATAGAAGAGGAATAAGAAGAAAGGAGGAAACATTTATAATTTTGATCTAATTTGATGTAACTTCGTTCCAGGTGGCTGGAAGCATTTTCATATTTCCACATTGGAAAAGATGGCCTAGTTTATAAACACAGAATTGATAGGGTAAGTACAGCTCTCTATAAGGTCAATTCTCAAGAGGTCAATTCTCAATCTCTACTTATGGGATCTCAGTTGACTTCTGACTCTGGAGTCTTTACTCATTTAAAGATACGAGTCTAGCAACACAAACCTGGTGCGCCGCTTGCATTAACAAAAAATAATGGTTAGACCCAGTGCCTTTACAAGCATGTCATGTCGACTAATTAGGGGTTTCCTTTGAAGTCAGAATGCATCTCCTGAAAGGCGAGGAACCAACAGTTTGTTTACAAATAGGCCAGATCTGTTACACGGATGTGCATGCAAAAGACTAAAGTCAGAAGTGGATGAACAGCCAGAACTTTCCGCTGGAGTTTGCAGCTGGTGAATGCGAAAAAGAAGAAGATAATGTTTATGTACATGGCACTTGTGAGAGTAAACCACTTGTTAGTGATTTTGTTGTTATTATTACACATTGCGATGTTTTTCCTTGTTGCTGGATTAAATGGAATTTGAGCTATTATCCTTCTTCTTTGCATTAGAATAAATTATGTCAGCTAGCCTTCCATTAAACACTATAGCAATCTTGGAAGGTAGCCTTTATAAGGGCATGGAAGTGCCAGGTTTGTAGCTTCTCAGGGTGACAGGATTAACTCCTTCTGATGACTTTATCATATCACTTACCCCATCCCCCATCTTTGATTAGTTTTCCAGACAACAGTTCTGGATAAGATGAGTTAATGTTACTGCTGCTTGCGAATGAAATAGTTGATGTATCTACTTTTAATGATATAAAGATTGGTCCCCCCTGTGTGGATTCCGGGGCCTCATTTTGGGTAAAACAAGAATAGACCCACTGCCCTCCCAACAAGCATTTTGTGTTTTGTAATAGTTGACTAATTGGGGGCATCCTTCAAAGTCAAGAGTGCATCTGCCTTAGCGGCAAGGAGCCAGCAGTCTGCATAAAAATAAGCCAGATCTGTAAAATGGATGTGCACACAACACTCAAGCTCTGGAACAAGACTGAGGTCAGGAGGTGGACGAACAGCCAGAACTTTCCACCGGTGGACTTCTTCTTCTCTTCCACCTTGTACCTTAGTGAAGTGTCGGGCGAGATGTAAAAGTTAAAGAGTCTGGCAGTGAAAGAGTTAATGAACTCAATACTTTTCTTGTTAACTCAGACAAATATACAAAATCACTTACATTCATATCTCGAGGCAGCCAGGTCGATGTCAGTTGGCTTGATATCGACCTGGCTGCCTCGAGATACGAAGTGATATTGTGTATTTGTATAGTGTGGTCTAATCTATGTATGTGGTGAGGAAGGCTTCATAGCTGCAACGTTCACGTTTTGTTTGTTATATTGTTGAGCTCACTGATATACTTTTCGTTTGGTTTTATATCTTTCCCTGATATTCTTAACTTAGATGATGCCAGACGACAACCAGCCTGACCTGACAGAGAAGCTGAGAGGACTCCTTAACCCTGCCAAGCCACTGGTCAACTAACTGTAGTCGTAGCTTGTACTTACTGTTAAGAGACCACCATAGTAATAGCTTGGTTGTGCCCAGTGTTTGTGGGAATTATTAGTGCCATGACGGAGGAAACATTCTCCTTCTTTAGTCCTCCGAGCCCTTAAGGTTCTTTGCTGTAGATATCATCTACCTCCATAATTGTTTTCCTATTTCCAATAGTCGACTCCGTGTATTTGTAGGTCAGCCAATATACGAGGGGAAGTCAAAAAAGCAAGTTACAAATGGTTGTTTGAAAAAAAATAAAAATATAACAAAAACCGTTTATTTTTACACATACACCATCTCTTTATTTTTCAACATAATTTCCACCAACATTGATGCACTTATTTCCTACCGTTTCATCAGTCCTCCCAAACCTGCTGCATAAACCACATTTTCACTTCAGATTGAACTTCTGCGTCATTCACAAAATGTCTCCAGCCAAGGTGGGTTTTCAGTGGTCCAAAAAAGGTGGAAATCGCTAGCTGCTAAATTGTATGCTGAAAAATGTGAGCACTGTATTGCAGCTGCTGCAGAGTCGCCTGTCACCTCTCTTCCACCCGCTGCATGGATGGGCTGTTGCGGTCTCAACAGGATGAACAGATCAGACGTCATCAACAATTTTAGAGCATCCAGGAGAAATTTGTTTTTACCCAGCTCTGCATGGCTTTACAGGATAAACATTTCTCAGCATAAAACATTTCCTTATGAATTTCCTTTGCAGGCAGCCCTTGCTAAAAAAAATATGCACAACAGCACGTTGTTCTTTGAGGGTTCACGCCGCACGTACAGTCACCATTTTGTTTCTGTGTTGCGGATGTGCATGCAACTCCTAGCGCCACCTAACGAACGAAGACATAAAGTTCGATGTTACTGTCACCTTATAACACCGTTAGAAGTTTGTTAACAACGGATCAACATCGTGGCACACGGTTAGTAACCCAAAGGTGCTCCTTTCTTCTTCTTCTAACTCAGGTCTGAGTCCGAAGAATCTCAACACAGTGGACAGGCTCTGTAGCACCAGCAAGGATCCTGAAATACTTTAGGTAAATTTTCCACTCCACTGCCAAGGGATTTTTATTTTACGTGCTCAACAATGCACATGGGTGTCCGATCTCACTATCCAGAGACCGGGGGGAATTACTAGAAGTCCCATGTGAAAACATCCCAGACCTTACCGGGGATTAAACCTGGAACCTCTAGCACTCAAGGCAGACAACAGCTCCCCCCCCCCCCCCCCCCAACAACTTTAGAAACCACCAACACTACATTTTCCTGCCATGCCATAACCATTTGTGACTTACTAATTGACTTTCCCTCATTCAGTGCATACGGCAAATTCAGATGTGCCTAATTTCTGGTGTGAAGAACAGTTTGTTTCTTCTTGCCATTTGTTGCATCCCCAGCAACTTCTCCTTATCAGGTCTGCACTGTATTATCTGTTATCTTCTTGGTCTGCCTTGATATCATCTTATGTGCCATCCTCTGCAGTGCTGGTAAACCTTTTCTGTGTTAAATATGTGTGATAATTCTTAGTTGATGAATTATTTAACTAACAAAGTTGGCTGGATTAACTTACTGTTGTTCATTCTCTTCTGTTTACAAACACATTAAGATGTCATGTCGATTTGGGTTAGCTTAGCCGAAGATGAAAGCATATAGAGAATGCTTTATTTCACCCATAGATCAGAATGTATGGGTAAGGAGTTAACCATAGATGGGAATATATGAAATATCCAGCCATGAGATAGGTATGTTTGGACAAAATATTAACCATAGATGGTTAACAAGGAGTTAACCATTGATAGAAGTATATGTAATAGTTAGCTATAGATAGGAGCATGAAGAATAAGTTAATGTGAAGAATGGGTTAACCATACACTGGAGAGAATGGTTTTGGTTAACCATAGGTGGAAGAATAGATTGGATTCAGTTGAAATGTAATCAAATGGCATGAGTTGAATGATGCGGGATAGTGTCATGAAGTATTTGGGTAAAATGTGCATAAATAATAAAACAATAAGCAAAATATTATCCCTTGTCTCAGAACAGGGCACAACCGATTATGTAACCACATGTACACACAATTCAAGATAGGTGTATCAGCCATGTGCACCTGTAGAAAGGTGCCCCAGACAGCAGAGCATGTACTCCAGGACTGCACCGAATGTGACACATTAAGGCAAACTTCTTCACAAGAAAGAACAGCAGTGGAAGATAAACTCTGTGGACCACTGAGTGAACTAAAAGTGACATTGTAATTTATACGAGAGACAAAATTGCTGATATAGTCAATTTATTTAGGGCAAATGAAAGAATAATAATAAGCAAGACCCGTAAGGCCTTGCTTAAGGATTGAGAGAAAAATTGTTTTATAAAGACATTTAAAAGTTAGTTGCACGTCGTTTACAAGGACTTTGCAGAATCTACCGCAGCATTTTTTGGCTGTTGTGGTTTTTCTAGGCAAATTTATGTCTAGTAGTTTGCCATTGCTTTCTGGGCGGTCAGCTTCTCGACACTACTGCTGAAACCAATGCAAGGCCGGCAGCTGGGATCGAACGCAGCACCTCGGCATTGCGAAGCTCGCTTGCAACACCTAAGCCACAGACGCCAACGTGAAGACATTTATCAAAACTAAAAATTTTAAAATATATATCTGTTTATTTACTGCTCCTGGCCTGTTGTAATCAGTGCTTTGCTGTAGAACAGATTTTTTCAGCCGAGTTTGTGTGTGTGTGTACACATTTCTGATTGTACAGATTTTTCCAGCAGAGTTTGTTTGTGTGTACACATTTCTAATTGTACTATCTGCATTTGAAGCAGAGAAGGTGGCACTTGATGGGACACTCATTCAGAAATCCAGTTCACAACTAAACACCCCCTCTCCCCCAACAAAAACAAAAAAATCACCCACCAAGTGCCGATCGGTCTCTAAAATATAGGTCTAGCCCTATATGCTCAATACAGCTAAAAGGCGTGGAAAAGGTTCCTCAACTTTTACTTCTCTTATCTGTGAATCTTACATAGGTAAAAGACAGTGTTCATACAAAAAGTATTTGAACAGAAAAACCCATGTTATCCAGGAATTACCCAAATGAGTAATTTAGGAAAGAGATTAAAATAACTGTAAAAGAGTCACACAATGGAAAAGCTTGGCAAGAGATGGTCCTAAGGGACATTTCATAGGAATGTAAAAAGCAAGTGACTTGTTCATATTGGTTGTTTCTTTTCTGTCAGTGTTGCTTGTAACATTTATGTAAATAAAATGGAGATGACTTCATATTAAGAGCATTTCTGAACTGTGTTATTATCGTTTTGCTGTTAACAGTCCAGCAGAATTTTTACTGTCTGTCATGATACCACTAGTGGTACTAGCCAAGACCCGCTCCAGGTGACAGGCCGTGCTGCTGACGTCACCGGTTCGGGTTAACAATGCGTTAACGCAGCGGTTCTTCGACTGGTTGCCAGGGCAGCCAGGGTGTGCCGTGAGCGTATGCTAGGGGTGCTGCAGCAGTATTCAAGAAAAGTCGGCTGAAGGTTGTGAAATTATTAAACAAGGCATAAAGATACTTAAGAGTTAAAATTTAAGTTGTCTCCCATTGTCAATGTCAAAAAAAAAGCTTGATTCATGTTTGAGAACCGCTGCGTTAACGCATTGTTAGCCCAACCCGGTGACGTCAGCTGGAGCCGGTCGTGTACTAACTGTGTTTGCCACCATGTCAGACGCAGGGTGGCCATCTTTAAATTGTCATTATGACATCACCGTGTTCACCTGCACTATGATGAAACATGCTTAACACACATCCTTTACAACAGTATTGACAGCTGACACGTTAACAGAGTAAGGTTACTGTCATTTCTAAGGTTTTCCTTTGAAACCCCCTTGTAATATCTGTATCCAAGCACCTATGATCAAAAGAATGATTCTGGCTTGAGACCCAAATTGTGAACAAGGTTTTAGGAAAGTGATTAATAAATCGGAGATATCTATCATTTTCAGAGGTTAGTATGTAGAGTAATACTGTCAAACTGATTTCTAGGCACATAGTGCCTTGACTCCAAAACTGTTTTATTGCCACTTGTACACATTTGGATCCTCAGTGGTGCTACAGAGATTGTGCACTGTGCTGTGATTTTCCTTGTATGGTCTTCTTCTTTAGTCCTTCTGCTTTTGCCATAATGCAGGAGCTAGTCTCCTGCTAGTTGCATAATGTTGTATTGCGTTTCTATAGTCTCTTTAACTTCCTCCACCCATCTCTCCTTAAATGATCTGTGTGAGATAATTGCATCATTTATGGCTGGGTTTGTGAGAGAGAGAGAAAAAGGGGGAGGGGAAGAGTAAAGAAAGTAATCCTTAGCAAGGTCATCTCATCTATCTTGCGGTGTTGAAGAGCATTATAATTTACAGGAAAGTGCCAGTTTGTGCACATAGTAAGTAAATTGGAATTCCCACTGGCTTTTATTCCCTCAGCTTGCATGATCGGGCTCTGCTTCGCTTCCCGCCTGGTCAGCACATCACTGCTTGATGTGGTATACTGTTTGTTGGCAAAACATTTCACTTATCTAAAAAAAAATCCAGAGCTGTTGTTGGCATCCGCGTTATTTGGCCAAACCAGACTAACAAATTAAACTCAACCAAAGATAAATCAATAAACAACAAGATCAGTGATTCCAATGACTGAAGTATAATATGTAATTTTCACTACCAACACAGTCAAACAGATGACTAGTTTCAGCATTTAGCATGCATGGTATTGTTAACATATACAACTGAAAATACTGAGACATAATGTTTTAGCCATGAGCTTCTTCAGGGAGGGTGTGTGATGTAAAATGCCATATTCTTTGTATGTCATTTTTCTTTATCAGTCACTCTCATCTAGAATGGAAATAAAAATTTTTTTTAAATTATCAAATGCCTTGCCGACAAGGCGTGGGTGATCATGCCTCTCCACAATTTGCAACTGTATCAGTTCATGTGGTGACATCTTTCCAAGGCTGTCGAGAATCTTCTTGCGTTGTCTTCCTCTGTATGGCTTTCCACACATATTTCTGATGGTTACAACATGTTTCAGTTTCCTTCTCAAAAGATAACCAAAAAATGATGACTGTCTCTTTCTGATGTTTGCAATAAGTTTTCTTTGAGTCCTAGACTCTTTTAAAACATCCTTTTTTTTTTTCTCTAAGGATTCTTCTGTAAAACCACATATCCCTGGCTTCAAGAAATAGTCTGTCTTGTTTATTATTTGACAAAGATTCACAGCCAATTGTTAAAACAGGCTCTTTACAGCATGCATGCAATTAAAATTTATAAGTATTACTTAACTTCATCTCTTCTTTGCTCTACTTTTTATCAACACAGAAGTTAGTGTATGTACATAACAATCTGATGATCCTCAAGCGCAGTGTGCGATTTAAAAGAGAGAAAAAAAACGCACACAAAACAAAAACCGCTTTTGTGGTTTTCGGGCAGTGGTTTGAGAGGTCCACTGTGGAAGAAACTGGAACACTCATGCAATATTACCAAAGATAGCAGTGAGTACACAGTACCCAACCTTCACTGTGGAGACAGCAACCTTTTTTTTAAACAATGAAAATAAAACTTTTAAAAGCTGTCATAAATCGGTAAAAAAACGCACCAGATTTTTAGCAAGACTTCACGAAGAAGTACAGAGAAGAGCACACAACTGTCAGCTGCCATTTTACAGGCAAATACAGAAGTTTAAGCAAACCTTACATTTTATTACACAGCCCATGAATTATGCATGTATACTGAAATCACCCAGTCTGTCCGGCTCACTTTACTCTGGCAAAGGCAAGACGAACATATAACCAGATTGTGACCGGTACCATCAGTACTGAAACTCTGCGCTGGCTGCTGAAGATAAGGACGGAGCACATATGGGAATGCCCAGAGTGCTGTGATGTCAATTCCTGACTCAACTAAAATCACTCAAGTATTTCTGGTTAAATGTTGATAAATTTGGTCTCCAAGCCGTCATCTGTAGTACAATGCTGTCAGGTAATGTATTATTCTCACTGCCAGATGAGTTCAGCAGATGGGTAATTATTATAATATATTGTTTTGAAACATCAGAATTCTTACTGTTAAATGATAAATATGTCTGTCTATTCAACTGTCACCATTATTAAGACATCCAAACATAACTATGAGTGCAAAGAGACAGATTATACACAGCATATTCATTCCAACATTTGTTAGTCCCAAACATGGACATTATCTAAGGCCCATGTGTGCAAAATCACCATTTGCAAGATAAGATGCCCAAGAAAAGCCGCCAACCTAAACATCAGTGATTTAGTGAGTAATGATACTATCAGACTGTTGGAACAACACCTTGTAATAGATTCATTGCCAAACAGCAGATCAAATGGTCTGGCCATCTTGTTAGAATGCAGCAACATTAAATACTATCACAAGCACTACATCTCAGAAGATCAGAAGAAGAGGCCGGACATGAAAAAATATGAATCGACATTAAAGACACTTTACACCTTCACAGTCTGACAATAGCCAGTGCCAGCCAGTGTGCACTGGATCACAATTTGTTTATCCCTATGATGCTAAACGGCAGAAGTGGTTTATGATGATGATGGCTGTTTTGAAACATCAAAAGTTCTTACTGGTCAAACAACAAACAGGTCTGTCCAACCATTCATTTATCCACTGTCTACATCCATCCGGATATTGGTGATACCACTTTCTAGATCTCTGTTATTTGGATTCCTAATCTGCTCTGCACTGCTCCCATCACCAGCTACTTCATTCTGTATTTCTAATGGTCCATTAGGGACTAGTACTGTTGTGTTGTTGGCAGAAGAAGGCATGGCTGTGGTTTGTGCTGTTGAGGCTGCCATTCGAGGCTGCACTGCAGCAACTGGGTGAACAGAGGACAACCTTGCAGCTGCAGCTGTGGTTCTCTCAGGCAAGGACAAGTTTCCTGCTGGTCTTCCGCTGCCTCCAGCGAGGCTTGGAAAAGCTGAAACTGCCCCAATCTGATGTGGCTGGGATGGAGGTGAGGACCCAGATCCAGCTATGTCGGACGTCGCAGGTATGTGCATGCGAGGTGTCACGGGCTGAGACGGAATCTTGTCCACTTTTCCACTGCTAATGTGAAATGCTGGAGCTACCCATGCTCCACAGGGACATTTTTCTCCTTAAAAAAAAAAAAAAAAAAAAAAAACTATATCAACAAAGAAAAGAAACAATATTAATAATTAAATTCACATCGAGTAACTTCTTAATTTCCACCGGCTGTAAAATCCGGTGAAAAGTTGTGGATGCTCGTCCACTTCTGACGTAAGTCTTGTTCCAGAACTTAGTTTTAGTGCACATTTGTGTTACAGGTCTAGATTATTCATAAGTCGACTGTTGGTTCCTTGCCTCTCAGATGGATGCACTCTGACTTAAAGGAAACACACCTAGTTGCTCAACTTTTATGATATGCCTGTTGGGGGGGCAGTGGGTCTAACCTATTAGTCCCCCAACAATTCAGCCCAGGAACCCACACAAGGATTTAAGTAACGGAATCGGTGCATTAGGGAAATCAAAGTGAAAAGTCGAGAGCATCAACTCCATTGCACATGGTTTTTAAAATCTTATATGGCTTGGTCTCTACACAGAGCAGCAATCTGCTTGCCGAGAGTCTCCTATGAAGTACAAATTCTGTAGCTCCAGTGATCACCCCCAGGAATCTGTAAAAATGTCACTAGCGAACCACATGATGCTGTCCAAGACGTGAACCCATGATCTTCAAAGCGCGAGGCACATGATGCAATCGCTAGTCATGGAGACCCCTTCTTTTCTGTAAATCATATTTGCTTAAATATACAAAGGTCAAAACGAAAACTAAAATAGAAATAATCATACAATATTAAAAAAAAAAAGCATAATTATTATTTCAGCCTTATGGCAGGAAATGATATTGCAGCCTATGACTTACCATACCAGATGTACGATCCTATCTTGGCATCACATTTCGGGCAGTGGAGCTGCAATGAGAAAGACAATTTGTAATCTACAGAGCATATAAGAAATAAAAAACTAAATGCTTACAACATTCTAGCATTCAGTATGACCAATAATCAATGGTTTAATCTCTTTCAAGCATACCCCACTGGTGCTGATCCAGTAAAGTCTATTTTTCTGTCTTGAGTGCTTGCTTGCAGACACACACACACAAATACACACACACATATACACACTCTCACGTTTGCATGTGAATGACAAACATACAAAATGCAGCCTTAGTTTTTTCTACTTAACATGGAAGAGGAGTCATAAAGATGAAAAATGAGAAGGACAGAAAAAGATAAAAAGAGATCAGAGTAAGAAAGAAATAAAGTAAGAAGGACAATGAATATATAAAAAAAAAAAGGTGAGCAACATATAAAATGGAGCGATGAGATCTGTTTAGATAATAACTAGAACACATGCTAAATCGGCTATCTTTGTTCGTGATCTGGGAGTAGATAAATGAGTGTAGGGTGCTTTGATTCATAACCATTTCTGATCTGTGCACCTCTGGAAGTCTACAAATGCAAGATCTCCTGACACTATGCAACCTCGGGAAGGGTGGGGCATGGCTGGAAACTTGCATAAAATTCTTCTTCCTCTCCTTTTTTTACCAGCTGTAAACTCCAGTGGAAAGTTCTGGTTGTTCATCCATCTCAGGACTTGAGTTTTGTTCTAGAACCTATTCTTGTTTTCAGTTCAGAAACCCAGGCAGAGTGCATGAAGTCCTGGCTTTATCCAGGTGGGTTCAGGGAATGAATGAGATGGAGAAGAAAAATGAGATAGAAAAGATGGAGAATGAGAAGGAAAAGCATGAGATGGAGAATGAGATTGTGAAAGATGAGAAGGAGACTGGGATGTAGGAATATGAGGAAGAGGAACAGGAAAATGAAATACAAGAGGAGAAAGAAAACAGGTAATTGAAAATATTTCTGATATTCTCACCTTGCCTTGATCTGTATTGATTTTCCCTTTCATCCAGGCTAAAGGATCCACGAACAATGACTTCTGACACACAGACTTTTCAGAACTAGACAAGCCCTGTGGTCTCTTATTGGCTGGCACTTTGCTTCTCCAGTCAAAGGCAGAATCTCCCTCTCCGACGTTGTGTGAGGACAGTGCTCCGTCATGGAACAGGAATGTCCTGAGAATGTAAACATTTGGGAAGTCTGTCTATTCAGTGAGAAAGTATTACAGCTAAGTGTTAAAAATAAAGACATGAGAAACATTAAAAAAAGAATGCTTGCAGCTCCTCACAGTGGGATTGCATATACCAAGGACAGTTTCTCATACTGTGATTGCTTACACCAAGGACAGTTTATCATACTGTGATTGCTTACACCAAGGACGGCATCACGTACTGTGATTGCTTACACCAAGGACGGCATCACATACTGTGATTGCTTACACCAAGGACAGTTTCTCATACTGTGATTGCTTACACCAAGGACAGCTTCACATACTGTGATTGCTTACACCAAGGACAGCTTCACATACTGTGATTGCTTACACTAAGGACAGCTTCACATATGTCGCGTGCGAATGTGCACCAGAACGCACCAGTACGGAGTGAGCAAATAAGACGTCAAAACAATACGTAACGTTGTTATGATATTGTTGTTGTCAAAAGCAGTTGATGTTTATAGTCCGAAGGAGACGGACGTGGGAATCCTTGAGGACGCTTTACCCCGGGATCCCACGGAAGCAAACGTTATATAAAGTTGGATCCTTGAGGACGTTTTACCCCGGGATTCCAAGATAGACCTCAGCAGGAAGCTGGTTAATACTACATTCTCGGCAGTAAGCCGGTATACTTTCATTGCTTAATTCGGACTTGTCCGAGGAGAAAGTAAATCGTCTGGATCTCAAGGTCGGACTGCGACCTATCGTGAGGACATATCATTACATGGATGTACGAGCGAGCTTTGGTTGAACGAGTTGATTATTACTTGCATATGTATCCTTTGTGTTAATCATTGCTGATTGTATATATCAATACAACCGTTGGAACTTAACGCATAGCGTTCGAGCTCTACATTTTGAAAGCATTGAAGTAACTACTGTTTTACCCCTACTTGGCCTATTTCATCTTGGTACCACACACATCAGCATGAAGCTCTGCACGTCACAATGAAGGACCGCACGTATCAACATACTGTGATTGCTTACACCAAGAACAGCTTCACATACTGTGATTGCTGACACCAAGGACGGTTTCTCATACTGTGATTGCTTACAACAAGGACAGTTTCTCATACTGTGATTGCTTAAACCAAGGACAGCTTCACATACTGTGATTGCTTACACCAAGGACAGCTTCACATACTGTGACTGCTTACACCAAGGACAGTTTCTCATACTGTGATTGCTTACACCAAGGACAGTTTCTCATACTGTGATTGCTGACACCAAGGTCAGCTGCACATGTTACTGTTCACACCAAGGTCAGCTGCTTATAATGTTACTTACACCAAGGACGGCATCACATACTGTGACTGCTTACACCAAGGACAGTTTCTCATACTGTGATTGCTGACACCAAGGACGGTTTCTCATTCTGTGATTGCTTACACCAAGAACAGCTTCACATACTGTGATTGCTTACACCAAGGACAGCTTCACATACTGTGACTGCTTACACCAAGGACAGTTTCTCATACTGTGATTGCTGACACCAAGGACGGTTTCTCATTCTGTGATTGCTTACACCAAGAACAGCTTCACATACTGTGATTGCTTACACCAAGGACAGCTTCTCATATTGTGATTGCTTACACCAATGACAGTTTCCCATACTGTGATTGCTTAAACCAAGGACAGCTTCACATACTGTGATTGCTTACACCAAGGACAGCTTCACATACTGTGATTGCTGACACCAAGGACGGTTTCTTATACTGTGATTGCTGACACCAAGGACGGTTTCTCATACTGTGATTGCTGACACCAAGGACGGTTTCTCATACTGTGATTGCTTACACCAAGGACAGTTTCTCATACTGTGATTGCTTAAACCAAGGACAGCTTCACATACTGTAATTGCTTACACCAAGGACAGCTTCACATTCTGTGACTGCTTACACCAAGGACAGTTTCTCATACTGTGATTGCTGACACCAAGGACGGTTTCTCATTCTGTGATTGCTTACACCAAGAACAGCTTCACATACTGTGATTGCTTACACCAAGGACAGCTTCTCATATTGTGATTGCTTACACCAATGACAGTTTCTCATACTGTGATTGCTGACACCAAGGTCAGCTACACATGTTACTGTTCACACCAAGGTCAGCTGCTTATAATGTTACTGCTGACACCAAGGTCAGCTGCTCATAATGTTACTGCTGACACCAAGGTCAGCTGCTCATAATGTTATTGCTGACACCAAGTTCAGCTGCTCATAATGTTACTGCTGACACCAAGGTCAGCTGCTCATAATGTTACTGCTGACACCAAGGTCAGCTGCTCATAATGTTACTGCTGACACCAAGGTTAGCTGCTCATAATGTTACTGCTGACACCACGGTCAGCTGCACATAATGTTACTGCTGACACCAAGGTCAGCTGCACATATTACTGTTCACACCACGGTCAGCTGCTCATAATGTCACTACCTACAAAATGGCCACTGAACCTGAACTGAGTAAAACCCTACTCCACAACATGTCTTCTTCTTCGCGTTCAACAGCTGTAAACTCCGGTAGAAAGTGCTTGATGTTTGTCCACTTCTGGACTCTAGTCTTGTTCTGGAAACTTGAGTGTTGTGTGCACATCCGTTTCACAGATCTGACTCATCTGCATGCAGACTGTTGGTTTTGTGTGTGCCTCTCAGGCAGATGTGTTCCGACTTTGAAGATAAACTCCCAAATATTTGACCAATATGCCTTTGGGCAGGCAGTGAGTCTCTGCTTGTTTTCTCCACAATGGGGCCAAGAAACCCACACAGGGACATCCACAACATATGATCCTGTACACCTGATGGCTGTTGTGGCCAGTGAATGTCTGTGATGAAGCAACCACTTTTACTAAAAACAAGCTGGACACATCCTTGCTTGCTAGATGATGATGATTCTTACCTGCACTTTTGACATTTATAATAAGCATCGTTGCCCTTGGCTGAGAGGTCAGGCTGAACAAACACTTCGGCAGGAATCTCGCTCTCTGGGACACCTGTAAGTGTAAAAGGAGAGAGAGGCTAATGGCTGCATTTCTATTGAAGAAATGCCCCCCCCCCCCCAAAGTTATGACAGTATTCCTATTGTAATTTAGGGACAAAAGGCCGCTTTTATTGTTTTCAGATAGTTATATGAGATGTACCGGGAAGAGACTGAGACCTGAGCATATAATATTCCCAAAGACAACTGGGGATGCACCTTCCACTGCTGATTAATCTCTGTTTAGTATTTCTATGATGGATACGAGACAAACAGAGGCATATGGCTGTATTTCGATTAAATATGTGAGGTCTCCCACTCCAAATGCTAATAGCAGAATTTCTTTCAGGGATGTGAGACCCAAAAAAAAGGCCCATGAAGGTATTTTATTCAGATTGTGAGATAATTAAACAAAAAAGATCCACATAAAACTTGTGGGGGACACCTGCCAGATCAGGACAAATTTAGGCTAATGTAAGTTGACATTTTACACACATTCATGCGAATGCACAATAAGAATAGAACAGCACTGCAAAATGAGTCATTCTGGTCTTCCAGAAGATTTGCAACAACTGCAAATCTATGAGAAGAAAAAAAAGCAATGCAGTTGATTCCTTCATATTAAAAAAAAACTTCCCAGTTCAAGCTCAGAAACTAGCAAAGCATGCAAGATCGACAGAACATCATCTCTGTATATGTAAATTAAGATGCCAGCTGGACATTACAGACTCAAAAAAACAGTTGTATAAAATAGGTATGAGCAGAACAGTGTCTCTGTTGATCAGACCCCAGAACAAGTCTTGCAAGACTATCCTCTCCTGAAGGAACTGTGAAGCAACATGTGGCCACACCCAGTAGACCTGACAACTAAGCATTGAGGAAACCCAAGAGGCCTCGAACCCCAGTTTATGGCCCACAATTAATTAGGCGCACAACCAGAGATTGTTGAAGAAGATATGGTCATGATTAAGCACAACACACACAGAACAACACAGACTAGGCTTGGGATGATAATGCTTCCTCTAAAACAGTAGAATTCAACTGGCGGTCTGGGGTCAAATCCTGCCCTCAAATTCCTAGCAAGTGCCTGCAGGATCATTGCCAACTGTATTGTATTAATGATCTTTCTATGACTTGGGCCTCTGCCGTGTGACAGTCCCCATTTTCATCCCGGAGAAAACTTTGCTGAATAACCCCTGTTCTAAAAGCTTCAGGTTTATTTGCTATCAGCAGACTCCACCCAACACCAACCATCACAGAAAGGATAAGTAGACAGGGTAGGAAACATTTCTATGTCTTTTATTTTATGTCACATTTGATTAATTTTTTTAATAGGAGTAGAGATTACAAAATGGTATTTCTTTTCTCTGGAGGCTATATACAGGGTAGCTGAAGGTTTCGGGGACCATAGGTCAAAGGGCTGAATAGAAGTAACATTACCATGGCAGACACTTGTTATCTTCTTTACGTTCACCAGCTGTAAACTTTTTTGGAGAGGTCTGGTTGTTCGTCCACTTCTGGACCGCAGTCCTGTTGCAGAACCTGAGTGTTGCGTGTGCATCCGTTTGACAGATCTGACACATTTGTGTGCAGACTGTTGATCCCTTGCCTCTCAGGCAAATGTACTCTGACTTTGAAGTAAACTACCAATTAGTCAATTCTTACGACATGCTTTTAGGTCGGCAGTGGGTCTATTCTTGTTTTCCTTATAATAATAAAAAAATTAAAAAAAAGTAAAGATCCCTTTTCACGGCTTAAGGCGCATCGGCTATATGGGAAGAGCACCCATATTTTTACAGACCAGTCGGCGCTCGGTGGGTAATGTGGTCAGCATTACGCCGGCCGTCTTTACTTCCCCAGGACAGCCATCCTGGTACCCATTTGAGGCTGGGTCGACCTGCGACGTCCCATACCACGATTAAAATCCACTCAGCCTGCAGTGCGGTTGAGAGTCAGAAAGTCAGTCTTCTTTGCCACTCGATCAACACATTCAGCACTTTCTCAAAGTAACACTAACATTTCTCATACTAATTTGACACTAACATCTCTCAAATTAATTTGACACTAACATATCTCATACTAATCTGACGTAACATCTTTCATGCTAATTTGACACTAAAATCTCTTATACTAATTTGACACTAACATCTCTCATACTAATTTGACACTAACATCTCTCATACTAACACTAACATCCTTAATATTCTCAGTAACAAAAAACAAAACAAATGGTGAGCTGTCTCCACAATGAAGATTGCCTTACAGTCAGTCTACCCACTGTTATCTTTCAGAGTATTACATGATGAGGCGCCAGTTTATTCCATGATGCAACTATCAAACCATCAGCTAAAAACCACAAAAGCTGTGTTTTTGTTTTGTAAATAAATAAACCTCCCACCATGGAAATTTAACTATCTAACCCTAGAGTTCAAGAATCTTGACATTTTAAAACTCATTCTTCTTCTTCTTCATGTTCACTGGCTGTAAACACCGGCGGAAAGTTCTGGTTGTTTTTGAATGTTAGTCTTATTCAAGAACTTGAGTGTTGTATGCGCACATACTTTTTACAGATCTGGCTTATTTGCATGCTGATTGCTGGTTGCACTCTAACTTTGAAGGAAACCCCTAATTAGTCAACTCTTACGATATGCTTGTTAGGGAGGCAGGGGGTCTGTTCTGGTTTTCCCCACACCGGGAAGACTAACCCGGTCAACAAATGCCTGCAGAAGTTGGATGTGTTGGCCAAAAGGCGCAAATATCACAGGCTGTAAACGGACACAATGCAACTACATCTCTGGATGAAGGCAGAAGAAGAAATTTTCTCCACAATGTGGCTACTGAACTTACACTTTCCCCCAGTGGTTTCCGGGGCCCAGTTATACGGAAAACAAGAATAGACCCACTGCCTACCCAAAAGCAAGTCTAAAAGTCAACTAACTGGGAGCTACCTTGAAAGTCGGGGTGCATCTGACTGAGAAGCAAGGAACCAACGGTCTGCATAGAAATTAGTCAGATTTGTCAAATGGATGCATACGCAACACTCAAGTTCTGGAATAGGACTGCAGTCCAGAAGTGGATGAACAACCAGAACTTTCCGCCAGAGTTACAGCTGGTGAATGCGAAGAAGAAGAAGAAGAAGAACCCACATGGAAAACAACTCATTAACTAATCTCTAAGCCACAGACATGCATCAAAATTCTCTGTAAAAAATACTTAGAATGATGAAAAATACAAAAATCACAAACCTCCAGAGAACTGGCCACATTTAAACCTGACCGCAAGTTTATTCAGCTGAAAGGCCCTAAACTCTGGATGTGTCTTGTCCAGCTGACAACCCATGTTCTCAAAGAGCTGCAGCTGCTGCAGAAAGCCATCATTGGGTCTGGGTGAGACATGAAATCAGCCATCATCAACGAATATTGTTTGACAAAATATCTAAGTAAACACAATACTGGTAAACAGACAAGACATGTAAATGATGACTGACTGACTTACTTGGTTTATCCCCTTCAACCCTGGGATATAGAGATTTGCCAGACTTATTGCCAGACTTTTTTATCAGCAGTTTTCTTTATTGGCTGTGTTCCGTTCCAGTCCTCTGTCAGTCAAGGGCTGTTCCTCTCTGTGGTAAGTCCTAATCATAGTTTAAGGCAAACAGGTGACTGGCCTGTTGTGCCTTTGCAAGGTGAAGGGGCAGCCTCCTTGCGACCTCCATACAGACTGTCTAAATGATGTTAATCCTAGTAAATCTTTATTGACAAGACATGTAAATGAAGACAACAATGGTAAAGCTTACTAGGCAAGACCTGTAAATGGAAACCACACTGGTAAATCGTACTTAACAAATATAAATGGAGACAGCACTGATTAAGCTTACTTGCCAAGACAGAGACTAAGCTGGTAACTTTTATTTGACACGACAGGTAAATGAAGACAACACGTAAACTAAATGAAGACAACACGTAAACCTATCTCGACAAAACAAACAAATGAAGACAACAATGGTAAAACTGTAAAAACAATTAAGTAAATAAAGACAACTCTGGTAAACCTATCTTGACAAGACATGTAAATCAAGGGGGGTATTTATTCCCCCAGCTGTCAGGTGCGGTCATTCTGCTGAGTAACCACCGACCTGGCCGCATCGAGATACCAGCTAAGTGATTTTGTGTATCTATGTAGTATTGTTTAATGTGTATGTGCTGATGAAGGCTCAATAGCCGCAACGTTCACGTTTTGTTTGTATTTGTTATATTGTGAAGCTTGCTAATATACTTTTCGTTCGGGTTTATATCTTTTCTTGATATGTAAATGAAGACAACACTGGTAAAACTGTAAAAATAATTAAGTAAATAAAGACAACTCTGTTAACGTATCTTGACAAGACATGTAAATGAAGACAATACTGGTAAATCTGTAAAAATAATTAAGTAAATAAGACAACTCTGGTAAACGTATTTTGATAAGACATGTAAATGAAGACATTACTGGTAAATCTGTAAAAATAATTAAGTTAATAAAGACAACTCTGGTAAACGTATCTTGACAAGACATGTAAATGAAGACAACACTGGTAAAACTGTAAAAATAATTAGGTAAATAAAGACAACTCTGTTAACGTATCTTGACAAGACATGTAAATGAAGACAATACTGGTAAATCTGTAAAAATAATTAAGTAAATAAAGACAACTCTGGTAAACGTATCTTGACAAGACATGTAAATAAAGACAATACTGGTAAATCTGTAAAAATAATTAGGTAAATAAAGACAACTCTGTTAACGTATCTTGACAAGACATGTAAATGAAGACAATACTGGTCAATCTGTAAAAATAATTAAGTAAATAAAGACAACTCTGGTAAACGTATCTTGACAAGACATGTAAATGAAGACAATACTGGTAAATCTGTAAAAATAATTAAGTAAATAAAGACAACTCTGGTAAACGTATCTTGACAAGACATGTAAATGAAGACAACACTGGTAAAACTGTAAAAATAATTAAGTAAATAAAGACAACTCTGGTAAACGTATCTTGCCAAGACATGTAAATGAAGACAACACTGGTAAAACTGTAAAAATAATTAGGTAAATAAAGACAACTCTGTTAACGTATCTTGACAAGACATGTAAATGAAGACAACGCTGGTAAAACTGTAAAAACAATACAGTCAAGTTTTAAAAAAATGTCAACTCTGGTAAACCTATCTTGACAAGACATTTAAACAAAGACAACACTAGTGAGCCTCACCTGATAAAATGCCTGACTGCAGTCACTTTCTTTATGGCTTGCTCTTTAGTGAGTTTCAGCTTGTGCATGAGGTAGGCAATGACAATTGTTGCACTCCGAGACATGCCTGCCTGACTGCAGATTACACACACATTTGTTTATGGCCCAGTCAGTAAGCTGCTGCAGTTCATGAAACAACATCAGCAATTAAGGAGTGATTCTTAGGGTTAGGGCATGTGTTCGCGCATGTGCCAGTATGCACATGTATTGTGTTTTTCATGTTTAAAAATACAAAACAACGAAGGATCCCTTTTTGCACTACAATGCATAGTGGGTGTATGGTGATCTATGTTTTTTTTAAGGATAATTGTCCCTTGATGAAGCCAGCATTATACTCCATTTAGTACATCTTACATATTATTTATGCAGTTAAAAACTCATTAGGTTGAGTTAACCTCTCAATAAATCTGCACCATCACTGTCAGGCATTGTGCAATCAGACAGAATCCACCATATTACATAATATTTTTGTTTGGGTACATTTCTGACTTAAACAATGGAGCTGTACTTTTAGGTATGCTAGTCCATTGAATGCGACATTTTAGTCTGTTAGTGGTAGTGTGATACACTTCTTCTTCTTCTTCACTTCCTCTTCTACCGCTGTGGGTGTCGAGGGAGATATAAGGTTCTGTTTCTAGCTCTTCTGGCCGCCACGACCATAGGCACATCGTGCTGTTGTAGAGTTTCTCTGATGTTATCCTTCCATATTGTTCTTGGTCTACCTCGTGCTCTACGTCCTTCTTCTCTTTCCATGTATGCTTTGTATGGTATGGTGTCACAAGGCATTCTCTCTAAGTGGGCAAACCATTCCACCTGCTGTCTTCGTATGTAATTTAGAATTGGTTCTGTGCCGACTTTTTCTCTTATGATCTCATTCCTGATCTTATCTCTTATGGTCATACACTAGTGATACACTAATATATGCAAGTCATTGGAGTGGGACATTCAAGTCTATCAGTCCTTGGACTGGCAATTCAATTATACTAGCTGCTATGTCTCTTTTGAATAGGCTAGTCAATAGAGCAGTACTCTTGAGTCTGATAGTTCTGTATATGCTACTGTCTGACCTTGCTGAATGTATGTTATGTTGTTTTCTATTTAATGCCTAGGAAAAATGTATGTTATGTTGTTTTCTATTTAATGCCTAGGAAAAATGTATGTTATGTTGTTTTCTATTTAATGCCTAGGAAAAATGTATGTTATGTTGTTTTCTATCTAATGCCTAGGAAAAATGTATGTTATGTTGTTTTCTATCTAATGCCTAGGAAAAATGTATGTTATGTTGTTTTCTATTTAATGCCTAGGAAAAATGTATGTGTTTAAAATGTTAACACTATCATTAATGACTTAGACAAAAACATGTAAATTTACCAAAGTACTATAAATCAACATTTAAATGTAAAAGCTTACCAGTGCACAAGTACAGCTCCTCCACCATCTCTACCTTCGTCGATAAACATAAAGCAGTCAGGGAAATGACTGAGCAGTTCAAAGTCATATAAGTCAAGAGCAAAAATGTGTTTGTATGAGAACTTGTTTGTCAGAATATCAGGCAGAGGCTTTTCATCCACTGAAAGTATATGTGTGATCTTGTTAGACTGAAGGTCTCGCTCATTAAGTGCAGCCATAACCCCACCAAGGTACAGGCCTTCAATGATACGGTCTGATGTTTCCATCGCTGGCTTTGAGGAAACGTGATACTGGTAGGAGATACAGACATAATTACAGGGATATAAACAACTGAAACTTTTACATTTAGGTAAATTTTCGATCACAAATGTCAAATATTTTAACGTTAGTTTCAATCACTCATTGTCCTGTGGTGCCCTTATGTCGGTCATTACTCCACTCCATTCTATCTTGTGCAATCCTTTTATTATCATGGATTAATTTGATTTGATTTAAGAACCGATATTACAGCACTCGGGGCATTCCCATAAGTGCTCCGTCCTCATTTTCAGCAGCCAGCGAAGAGTTCCGATACTTATGGTGCCAGTCGCATTCTGATTAAACGTCCGTCTTGCCTTTCCTCTGAGCCGCGAACATCTGCCAGAACCTCTAGTCACTCCCAACTGCATCATCTCACCAGACTGTGGTGATCTATCTGCTATTATCATGGATGGAATTCAGTACAGCACATTTGACATTGACGTTTTTTAAATAGCATGAAGAACCTATAGCAAAGCCCTAGTAAATTAGTTCAAGTACAAATCTTCAGACCATGCATTTTTCCTGTTGTGAGTCCTGGACTCTCACTCCATCACTGAGGAAAAAGATTGGAGCTTTTGAAGTAAAATGCTACAGAAAAATTCTCAGAATACCATGGATCAAGAAGAGGAAAAACATTTACATTCTACTTGAGTTAAACACCCAGGAGAACTGGCTTACAAACAGTAAAAAAAAGTATTCTGGCCCCCATCAAACGTCATGGTAGCTTGGAAAAGACGGTGTTGGAGGGTGCATTTTTTGGAAGGCGAGGCAGGGGTCAACCTCCACGAAGATGGATACAAGGACATTGAAGCATTAGAAATGAAAGCACAACACAGGGTTGAAGAGCTGGCAAGAGAAAGGGACACTTCCAAGCGGGCAGTGAAGACAGCGACGTTCTGTAAAGGACTTGCTGACTGGTGACATCTGGTCTCTCTCATCAATGTTAATTTTAGGGTTTTCTTTTGAATGTCCTACCTTCCTCTGTCCTTTTATTTTTCATTGCAGTCCTGCCTGGTGATTCCCTGTTCATTTCTTCCCGGGATATGTTCCAATATAGTGTCACCTTCTTGCAGAGGTTTTTAATTTACCGCTGACCAGTCATAAAACACGGACCGCTCAATTGAAACTTCCTTTCTAGTTCTTTGTGTCTAATATCAGGCGTGCTCATTTGAAAAACGAGGTCTGAAAGCCAAAAATATAGTATATTTGCGAGATTTACCGAGTTACTAAGCATTTCTTTGAAAAGAATATGGCCGCCAACATGATTTATGCCAACATGATTTATGGCTTTAGAAGCCTCAATTTAAATGAAGTACTTGTTTATTCCATTTATCCCAAGTTAGATAGATAACATTGTGAATTAGACCTGTTTTAGTCATTTACAGAGTGAAACTTTGATAAAAGGATATGTCTAATGTGTACCTCACGCGAAGGTACAACAATAGCAAAGTCAGCTGGCACAAATAGAATGAACATTAGTGAAAAGATGATTTTCTTCCATGTCAGTTAGTTCTAGTGCTATTCCCCTTATTTTTTAGGAACATAGCTACATAATTACAGGCAAATTGAGTGTTATATAAACTTTGTTTTGTGTGAAGATATTATTTTGGAAGTCAGTTTTCTTTACCAATTAATGGTGCTCTGATGCTTCAAAAGATTCTTTGGAACAAAATCTAACGTATAGATTGAGTTTATGGCTATCCTCCGAATAATGGTCCTAAATTATCGAGGCGGAAAATATACCCTAACAGGGCCTCAGTCACGTGTCACTTGCGCACCTCCGGGGACTATAACGCCACCGCCATATTGCGAACTTCTGGGGACTACACCACCACCGCCTAGAGTATCTCCCACGCCGCTCACTCTGCATGTAATGGGGCTAAATTAGATGGCTAGGACTCACGAGCAAATAAAATGAAGGAAGCTGCAGGAGATGCGGTAGCTGCTGCTCGTGAGTCCCAACCATCTAGTTTAGCCACAATCCACGGCGCGTGAGCCGCGTGGGAGATACTCTCGGCGGTGGCGGAAGTCGCTGGAAGTGAGCAATTTAAGACGACGGAAGTGCGCAAGTGACACGTGACTGAGGCCCTGTTAGGGTATATTTTCCGCCTCGATAATTTAGGACTGTTATTCGGAGAATAGCCGAGTTTATATTTTACTTATACATTACTAAGTGGTTCATATTCATTTGTGATTCATTTTGGATATATTTTAACCAGTTTTCCTTGAGTGCCATGGTGGTAAGTGGAAATGGCTATCCTCCGAATAACGGTTGGTAAAGATGGCGGCCGCAAAATATCCTTTTCTGCCACAGTCATGTGACCTAATTTGCGGTTCTCCGACGATTACCGCTACCACCACGAGTCCCCCACGCCACTCACACGGCGTGGATTGGGGCTAAACTAGATGGCTAGGATTCGCAAGCAAAGCTTCAGGAGATGCGGAAGCTGCTGCTCATGGGTCCTAGCCATCTAGTTTAGCCCCAATCCACGCCGCGTGAGCTGCGTTGGGGACTCGTGGCGGTGGTCACCGGAAAACCGCTGGAGAACCGCAAATTAAGTCGCCAGAGAACTGCAAATTAGGTCACGTGACTGTGGCTCGAAAGGATATTTTGCTGCCGCCATCTTTACCGACTGTTATTCGGAGGATAGCCGTGGAATTTTTTATAATTTATTGTAATAATTTTGGTAAACATACCGTCTATTTATGTACTAATATTGGCTCTCCTTTGAATCAACCCCAAAAATGGCGGCTTTAATATATGGCGTTTGAAAGAGAGCTAAATTGGCCAATTTCTTGCCATAAAATATCAAAAAATATCCAAATGGGGCTCAGTTCTATTAAAAATATGCCGGGCTCTGTATAACGAAACAAATGCTCTAACAGGGTCTCAGCGATATTTTACTTGCGGACCTGCTTCTGCGAGTGTGCCTCACCGCCGACCGTATCCCCGGGGACTAAACTAGATGGCTGGGACTCACGAGTGGCAGCTACCGCATCTCCAGCAACTTCCTCCATTTACTTTACTCGTGAGTCCCAGGCACCTAGTTTAGCCCCCCCATCCGCGCCGCTACGCGCAGCGCGGGGGAAACGCTCGGCGGTGAGTTTAATCACGTTTGGCTCATGCCGACAAGTCTTTTATGGCCAGAATATGGCATGCCGCCATTTTGGGGGTTGATTCAAAGGAGAGCCTTAATATTTAATTACTAACGCAATTATTTGTTGTAGCTGTATTCTAGAATTATTTCTCAACAATCCCTGGTCACTTTGATGTATAATATGTGTATGCTGCGCGGCAAATGAATTCGCGTGGTCTGTTTTAATGTGTTTCTACTGTTACAGTTACACTTGTGAAATTAAGAAATTGCATTACCACCGTAACTACCCACCCCTTGGGCCTCTGATGCTAAACCCCCGAGACTTCGAGACTCAAAGAGTTGTTTTAGCTTAGGCTTAACAATTAATATCTCAGCTTAGAATTAACGTAATAGCTTGAATAAGATACCGTTGAATATCATTTTCCAAGTGGAATTTAACTATGCCAATTTCATTAGTTAACAAAAAAATAAGTAAAAATAAAAACGAAAGAAATCATCATGATCAATTTCAACATATCTTGTCAGGCTGCAGGTGAGTACTAGGATCAACATTTTTATACATCAAAACAATGTCAAGAACTGCATATTTCTATGCAATGGATATACATTACATTCATTTGCATCAAAAATGACGCAGTTGATTTCTGCAGCAAGTAATTCGATTATATATCATTACTACCCTACCAATATTCTTTACGCTCAGTCTCAAACTTACATGCTACTTCGGTAACTTGTATACTTGATTGCGTTAATTTACGGGTAAATACGAAATATTGTTGTTTGTCGAAAATCTCCAGAATCTGGTACTGCCTCTCTCCGTGTGAGTTCTGGGACCCCATTGTGGAAAAAGGGGGGGGGGGGGGGAATGGGGACCAAGAATTAGACCCGCTGCCTCTCCCACAAGCATGTCGAAAGAGTAGACTAATTGAAAGACAGGGATGCAGAGTGGCAAGCTTCAGTGGGAAGGTCATGGGTAGTGAGCATACTTTGGATCTTTTTTCCCAAGGTATGCTGGCGATGTGGGGAATAAATAGGCAAACAGATTGGCTGGATCTGCACCACTGGGTGGTGAATTGATACATGACAAGGCAGATGTGGTCAGGGCCCTTTGGAAACAAGAAACGGAGTCAGAAGCGAAACAAGATTATTATGGCCTGGGGAGAATGAGGCATTTGGGTGTAACCAGGGCGTCAAGCCGGCTTACTACACTCAGGCGAAATATAACATATAACCAGATTATGACCAGTACCAATAGTACTGGGACTCTGCGCTGGCTGCTGAAGATGAGGACGGAGCACGCATGGGAATGCTCCGAGTGCTGTGATGTCAATTCTTGACTCAGCTCAACGCAATTCGAAGTGCATCTACCTGAGAGGCAAGGAACCAACAGTCAAAATACAAATAAATCAGATTTGTAAAACGGATATGCACGCAACTCTCAGGTTCGGGAACAAGTCCGATAGTGGACTAACAACCAGAACTTTCCGCCGGAGTTTAAATCCGGTGACAGCAAAGAAGCAGGAAAATATATTTTCCACAATAAAGGTTTCCTGTAAGGATGGCGACATAAAGAAAACATTGGGAGCTGGGTGGTGCTCGGCCCTCTTACACATTTTTTTTTCTGGAAATGGGTGCGTAAGGGACAAAGCCTCTTAATAAGTGCAATTTAATAATAATAATAATGTGCTAAATATAATATAAAATATTGAAACAAATACTTTCCAAAGAGAGAGAAATATATATATATATATATATATATATATATATATATATATATATATATATATATATATATATATATATATATAGAGATAGAGAGAGAGAGAGAGAGAGCCTCTATACATGGTTAGCCCCTTTAGTCCCCTTCG